GCTTGTCACTTCATATTGATGAAATATATTTTTTTTTTCCAAAGAAACAAATAAATGGAGACTGCTCTATAACTATCCAGAGTTCAACTACATTTAAAATTTAAAGTTAGCTTTACTTGTATTTCTACTAATCCCTAATCAAAACAAATATACTGATTCACTCGTAAAAAACGAGAGAAAATTTGGGGAAATAATTTTTGCACATTAGTATTTATTAGACTTTCCTTGGATTGTGACACTTGTCAGAATCGAAACAAATATTTAAAAAAATATCATTTTAAGAGGGGAGGGGGTCTGTTCATATGGATATAGTGCAAAATTGATCCTTGACCTTCACAGAATTATTGGACTTTATGAGTGGGCGAGTCTCTTTTAAGTAGTTCCTCATAATCAGCAGAAGTCAATCGTTAAATGATTTTGGAACATAATTAGAACAAGTGCTTTTTTGTTTTTAAAGAAAGTGTGAAATGCTAATTATGGAAGATTAATAGAAAAAGAAAGGAAAAGGTTAATAAAAAAATCTGTTATTTTGTAAAAAAAATATTTATATATAAAAATATGGATAAAAAGAAGACAATTGGAAAATATATTTTTTAGTCGTTGCCAACGCATTTCGTCAATTCGACTTTATCAAGGCAAATTTAAAATCGAAATGTTTTTTTTAGTTAAATTCAAATATAAAGGGAACGCTCCTGTGCAAGCGTCCTTCTGGATGTTTGTAACTTTTTTTTTCTTACTAAGAATTTGTTTTAGTTTTCCATGTCGACATAAAGTCTTTAATGTAAATAAAAAAATATTTCGCTTTTAAACTTGCCTTGATAGAGTTGGATTGACGAAATGCGTCGGCAGTGACTAAGAAATGTATTTTCCAATTGTCTTCTTTTTAATTTTATCCAAATTGTCTTAGAATTATTCTGAGAAATTTAACATATAAAAATATGTAATAAAATATATATAAATAAAGATATACAATATTATGAAGTCACCATATCTTTTCTCTTAGAGATATTTATTAAATCTCGTCAAGTATAAAGCCACAATATTGGGGTAACTAGTTAGGATCAATCTCAATAGCATTGACTTATGAAATTAGCTGCTGTATAAAAATTATTTTTATATTCTACAAAAAAAAAAAAGAAGAAAAGAAGCTGTAAGATGTAAGAAATAAGTGACGAAATAGCCATTTATCCGGCCTTTAGTACATTTTCTAATCAAGATTATCAAATATAACTGGTATCTGAAGGCAGCCTAAGGATATAAAAGTCGAAACATGTGTATAAAGAAACCAAGATGAGAACAACAGTTTGAATTGATCATTTTATAATAAGGATAATCCCTCATCTGAGAAATTCAGAAAGATATCATCAAAATAATAGAAACCAATTTTATAAACGAATGGAGGCAATTAGAGAAACACAAACAAAAACTATCACAAATATTGAAAAATCTAATATTATATCATGCAGGGACCTGAAGTTAATTCTCTCTGGCTTGAATATTAAAATGTCTGTCTATTCTAGTAAGCCATGAACAATTGCAGAAAGAACTTGCTCTCATCAGGGAGAGAATTTAAAACTGAAGATGAAATCTGCAATGAAAAAAAAAAAAAATTCAAGTCCAAATAATGATTCTGATAATCTTGGATTTACAATGATCAAGGCAGGGCAAAAAAGGATACTCCAAAAGTTGAAAGATCACAGTAGGAGATCTGACGAGGTTCAGCAGTGAAGCTATAATTGGGTCACTCACATGGAAAGAGGGTTGCATGTAATTTTATCCCAGTTTTAATTTTTCATGATTTATAGCCAGCAATAAGCTCTGAAATGGGATCTTCAAAGCAGCCACACACTTGACCAAGAGAATAAAATAATAGATAAATAAAAACTTTTGGTTAAAGTGACAACAAACCAGGCTTGCAAGATTTTCAATTGCGGATCTGTATTGAGGGTTACAGATAGGATTGAGAGGAGTTCTGGACTGCCTTTAATTGGGGGACAAACTATCCCTTGAGGTAGTGATGGGCTGTCTATTACTGGGTGAAAACAGACTGTCAAAATAGTTCCAATGCCACCCGTCAAAATTTGCTAGGTGGGCAGAGAATTAGTAAGAGAGTCAAGATTTTTGTTGGTTGAAGGGAATAAACTGATCTGTTAGTCTGAGGTGTCAGAAGTTGTCACCAAGTATCACCTGCTTACCCACGCAGATTATGCAAGAAAATCCTTGATGTTGAGATGGATAGAGAGTTGGTAGGAGGAAGAGTCAAAGGAAAAAGTCTATTAGTTTAACATAGCAGTTGTCCTTACCTACCTAACCAACCAGACTTAGCAAGTGAAACCTTAAATAAAACACCTAAATATATTGTAGACAGGGTTTGAATTCTTATGCCTTCATGTGGCATTTGTTTTCATTTTTCATTTCTCTGTGAACATACAATGGACCTTTCCCAATTTTTATTTCATATCAACATGAATGAAGATAAAGATGCAACTTAGAAGGGGGTTACTGTCTGGCTGGTGAAAAGCTTGGAGAGTGCTCTGTTGTATGTTTACACAGTATCAATATCAGCAAACATCAGTTAAGAAAACAGTTCTGAACAAACTATCAAGTAAGTTCTATATTAGGACATGATAGCCACAATTAAAGAGGGAAGATTGAAAAATCACTAAGACATATGCAGATGATTTTAGATACGAAATGAGACAAGCACTGGAGAAAGTTACACCTTCAAAAGTAGACATCATGAGAGAGGAAAGAATGGCTGTCAGAACCCTGCAAACATAACAATACTACCAGCACACAGTCATTATGGGCTTGGGGGGTGTCAACAGGCAAATTTAAATAATCAAAATTACCGTGGCTCATTGGGAATAGTTGCAACTGCAAGAAGAATCATCCTGAAAATTGAAAACCTGTTACACATTCTGAATAGGAGCAGGGATCACTTTTCTTCTACTGAATATACAGTTGAATTAAGGATATTTAGATACTGTAAACACAACCACACTTAAATTCACAAAGATGATATTCCACAAAACAGTTGTTGAGGCTCAGCATGTCACTCACTGTACAAATTCCTGCTAGATGTAATTAACCCACAAAAGAACTTTGTTGGGGCAGAAAGGCTCCCATTCATTCCAACCAGATAGCAAGTTTGAATGCTGGGAACTTATTCCCCAATATTCCAACTGATACCCACCTCCAAAGTTCAAGATAAATCTGACCCTTTACTTGGCAAAAATTCAAATAGCTAAAATTGTGTATATAAACAATCAAATCTGACATATCAGCAAGACCAGGCCATGGGATCACCACTGTTTCCAGTAATGGCAAATATAATCATGGAATGTTTTGAGAAAATGGCTTTAAGTATGACACCACTGAAGTCTAAGATAAAAAGATAACTGGCTAAAATAAATAGATGACACTTTTGTACTATGACCTAATCAGGAAGAGGTGCAAGTTTATGCTGGAACAACTCAATAAGATATCCAATACAATTCACGAGGGGGGAAAAGGATGATGAACTGGTTTTCCTAAATATACTAAAATCTTTCAGAGAGCAGTGATTCAAGACTTCTATATATCATTAAGTCAACATTCACAGAACAATATATGAAATTTAAAAAATTTCCGTCAACCATACAGTGCTAAGAAAGGAATTGTCCTGCCAATATGATAGATGATTAGTATTAGGAAAATTGTTTGAAAACATAAGATATTGTCTTCTATGCAGTACAAGATTTGTGATAACAAGAAAGCATGTCAGAATGAATGCAAAAGATCTGTCTCTTCAAAGTTACCTAACTGGAGCCAAGTCTCCATTAGATGAGCCTATGCAAAGAGCTGTGAATAGAACATTCCATTCAGTTGTGACATCATAATGACAATACCAGTTGCTCTCTAAAAGAACATACAGTATTGCAATTAGACTTGAAGAATATTGAAAAGCAGAAGGCTGGTGAGCCAACATAATCTAGTATGGCTGGAGGTCACCAGCCATTGTGAAAAGAAGTTAGATTAATAAAATGAAACCAATATGAAAGAATAAAGAAGCTGAAAGAATCAACACACATGCTAAGCTTTGATGACCTACTCTGTAGAGTAAGCATAATATTGAACTTAATGTTCCAAAATTACATTGCATGATTGTCTTGCAAGAAAATAGTGAATATAAATGTTGGTTAAATATATGCAGTTTATCTGGTGGGTATGAGATCAATCTCCAAGTTGGGTAGTGAAATCCATTTGCTTGGGTTCAATGGAACAAGCAGAAACAGGGTTACAAATTTGAATTAGTTATCTCCCCTAGCATCGAGATGAGAATAACACCCTCTGTGAATTGAATAAAGGGTTTGATTTGAAATGTAACAAAATATGAGACACAAAAACCAAAATGTGATGACAACCACCAAAATGAGAATAAGTCTGGAGAAATAAATATTTAATAATGCAAAAGCAGATTTACAAAATTTCTTGGAGGTTTTGTTTGACCAAATTTAGATATGATACAAATATTTTATTCTAATTTTTTGCTTCTTGCAGAACTCCTGAAGAAAGTAGACAGAATCCTGTTTGTTATAAAACCAAGTGAAATAATTTTTGTCCCAAAACAAGAGAATTGTTACTTGGGTCATTAAGCTTGATGAAATTAAAATCTTAATCCAAACCACCTGTCAAAATCAGTTGATGTATGTTGGTAAAAACATGACTGGCTTTAGAGTTTTTAATAATTCTTCTTTTCATTGCATACTTATAAAATCAATGCTGCTCATTTTTAGACAAATATCAGAGAATTAAGATTCTACATGATGTTTTATTATGACAACAATTTTAAATTTTATTAACAACAAATTCGATGTGAGAGAAAAGAAACCAGAAAAAAACAGTTTTATCAAAACTGAATTTATTGTGAGTCTAATAACATTTGACAAAAAAAAAAAAATAAGATTGAAGCCGACAAGTTTCAGCCAGTGTTCTGAGGGTCATCATTTGGGGAAATGTTAAAGGTCATTGTCATCTGGATGATAGAGCTCACTTAATAACCGGTAAACATATGATGGAGCATTTCCACCTCTGAAATTGAGAGAAAAATAATATTAAAAAAATACAAATTCAAAACAGGTTTACAAACAAAAAATAATTTTCTCTTGTGCAGAAGAAAACAGAGAAAAAAAAATTCTCAAATTTGGAAAAAATAAATTGAAAATTAAAATCTGTGTAAAGCAAGAGATCAGCCTATAAGTTCAAATATAAAAAAATATGAACTGTTAACCCACCACCACCACACACACCACCACACACACCACCAAGATATTAAACATGTGGAACAGCCTGCCTGAAACTTGTTATGCTTCATTCACCCTAAATCTAGCAGACTACCAAAAATATTTCCCTGTCCAAACTGATCTTTGGTGCATTTAGAAGCTAGAAAAAAAAATAAAAACGCAGTATCAATAAATAAACACTTTTCAAAACAACATTGGGAGTAGTTGTTGGTTATGGTAGGTTAGGAGTTGGGTGATGGTGCTGGTGGTTATTGTTAGGGTTGGAGGTGCACTGACATTTCAATCCAGTTATTTAGAAGACAAAATGTATATAGTGCATTAGAGTCAGTAGATGATATTTTATTAACATAACATTCAAATGATGTGCCACTTAAACCATTATACCGAGTAATGATTTATAGGACCAGTCATATTTGTCTTAACATTGACCTGTAAACAACATTAAGTTAATGCTCTTACCAAGATCAACAGGCCTTGGTTTTAGATAAAAATAATGGTGTTTAGTGGCGCATTTAAAATGATTTTCAAATTTTTATATTTAACTCTATGTTAAATAAGTTTACCAACTTTTCTTGTGGTACCAAGTGGATATTAGTTATGCTATTTGGGTTTCCCACTGGGTTAAAGAGAAAGAAGTTGATCAGGATGGAGTAACTGATATGGCAGGTAAAGCTGATACCTGAATTCAGAATTAAAATCTTGAAGATGACTTATACACCATGTTAATGAGTATATTGTCATATTATTTACAACTGAATTCCTTTTTATAATTTCTTTCTTTTCTACATTCAGAAAGTAAAGTTTGGATGACAAGTAAATTCAACAAAATGATACTCAAAATTGCTTGGCCTTTGCTCTATCCAGTTTCAATCAAGTTTGATTTTCCCCTTTCTTTGCAATCTCTTAAAATTTAAACACAATTCATCAAATTCCATCTCTGCAACTGGAGTACATTTTTCTTTTTACCGGTCTCCATTTAAAAATTTTCCTTATCACTTTTTTTTTTTTTTTACTGTTTCTATGTGAAAACTGTGTGACACGTACAGACAGCATATTTCAATTTAATTAGACGATCTCTGATTCCACTTCAAAAATCCCAACAAAGACAAAAATAAGAATTGTAAAAAGAAAGGAAGACTGACATGTTGGAAATAAAAAGAGTGACTAATTCTGGAGGGACATAGTCAAAGGCTGGGTTGTAGATTTCAATGTTTGGGTTGCTGTCTGTGAATGTTACCACATCACTTGGATTGAGAAACCGGTTGAAAGCATCCTGAAATGCAAAAGAAAATTCTCAAAAAATGTTTAAAAATAAATTCAAACAAAATAAATAAAAAATTTTGATTATGATCCAAATTTTTTGAGATTTATTTTTATCACAAAAGTAAGATTTTGAGATTATTTGCTTTTAATGAATTTTTTCAAAAAATGAATTTTAATAAAAGTAAGTCTTTTTGTACTTAACAAAAATTAAAATTCTGGAATTTGCTATAAATTAAACATTTTCTTGTTTTTGAAAAGTAAAATTTTAGTTTTTCTCCACAGCAAATGAAACCTATATATTTTATAGAATTTCATTTTATACAAAAGAAAAACCAAAATTTTTAAACTTTATTAACAGAAAAAGCTTTGCTGAAAAAAAAAAAAAACGATTAAACAACTTTTACTATTAATTTCTGTCAATCCAGTGTCAAAATGATTATAACCAAAATACATTTTGATGTCCAGTAATTTGAGTATAGATTGTGTTTGCCTTACCTGGTCATAAGAGCAAAGATAGTGAGAGGATAATTTCGACATGGCTGCCACAACCACTAACTGAAAAAAAGAAAGAGAGTGAAAGATAGAATAAAGAGAAAAAGAGAGAGAGAGATGATTATATCAAGACAATTGGAAGGAATATTAAATAAAAAGTTGAGTCAAATGTAAGATTTTATTTCAAGAAAAGTTTGTATAAGATTCTAGAGAAACAAATTCCTCACAAGAAGAACTATATCAAGTATTAAAGTTAGTATTTTACAGATAGAAACCAATTATTGACATTAAAAGTATAAATATATATATATATATATATATATAATAAATAGCATGCAGTGAGTGCTGGTGGTAATAAAACATTGTAAAATAACACAGCTAAAATTTATACTAATGATAAATATACATTTTGTTCTTCACGATTTGGTACAACTTTGACTATGCCAATAAAAACCTTGTGGTTTTTGACAAAAGATCTTAAACACTCTTACAAAAGATTAAGAACATCACTAGATGGATGAGATGGTAGCTATTTTTCATTAAACATTAGAAAGAAAATAAGAATCTGAAAGAATTTTAATTATTTACATCATTTGGACTGATGTCCTCATCTTTATTGCCATATTCAGTGTTTCAAGCATTGTACACTCCAACCTTCTTCATTTCTTGTATGTTGGAATTTCTAGCCTTATATGTTGGAATTTTGAACTGGATCTTTTATTTTGTCCATGGAGTAGATTGTTCTAATTCCACGTACCATGACATATTTAGTTTCAGTCAATTCCCTTTAATATATTAACTTTCCAAGTGGCCAGGTATTAAACTCACCACTCTTAGGCCAAGTCACTTTTTTGAATTACTTTTATCCAATGGGCCATGTGTCCCTGGGAATGTCAGTGAGGGAATTTTGGAGACTTTTAAACTTAATGTCTCAGTAACCAATTTGTTTTTACAATCTACCCCCGTGGACTAAAAGGGTTCAGTTCAACATTCTAACATAGATCACCTGTAGAAGAACGGCCAAAAATGTCCTGAATATCGCAATAAAGATGAAAAAACAGTCTGAGCGACGTAAATAGTGTAAACAATTACAATACCAGACAGATGTTGAAGAATTTTAATTTTACAGATTCAGATCAATTAAGACTCCACCGCCAGATGATCAGGTGATGTACTTTAAAAAGAGCTTATTTTCAATAGTTAATAAAATCAAATACTCCAAGAGTACTAAATGGCCTGCAACAAAAAAAATGAATGAAGATGCCTTAGATATAAAAAAAACTAATAAAGATGAGAAGACTATAAAATTGATGTGAATGCATATTACAGAGTGTAATAATTAAGACACCAAATTTTATAAAAAAAAGCACCTAAAAGTTGTGAAAAAAAACATCAATAGAGAAGCCAGAGAGATAACTGCTGATTTAAATTGATTGATTGTTTTTTACCGCTTATCAACCCTGTGCAGGTTATTTAAAGCAAGAAAATACTTTTAGATTGTCAGAATTTTGGGGAGGAGGGGGCGGGCAGAGGTAAAAATGGTTTAGTGATACAAGTTTTACTAATTAACCTATAGCTTGGGGAAGAAGAGATGGATTTATACCTTTCCCAGGGGTATTTATGTATAAGTAAATATAATGAACCCAATGGGATTTGGAACTCTGATTAATAATTCTGAACCATTATCCATTACACCACCTACACATCAAAGCTTACAGCACCTGATATTCCCCAGCTGTCACCTATCTAGGTACTCACCATGCTCTATGTTGCTTAACTTTGGTGATATTATGGGAACCAGTGTTTTGCTGCGATGTGGCCATAATCACTGAGTTAAAGATTGATGATAAAATCAACAGATTACATAAAGAGCAAACTTTTATTACTATTAAGGCCTGCAAACCCAATTTACATGACTGTCAATATAGACTACTCAGTCCTACAAAGAATAATACTGGAAAAATTAGCAAAATCCTTCTTGAAGAACATGTAAATATGCATGAAATACTTTAGGTGTTAATCAGTGGTGTAATACGAAAGAAGCCATAGACTGGTTCAGGAAAATAAAAAGGAAAAATGGCTGTATGTTCATCCAGTTTGACATCAACAATTTCTACCTGTCTATTACAGAAGACCTTCCAATGGATGTTAGAAAATTAGCTAAGAATTATTGCAACATTAATGCAAAAGAAATAAGAATCATCAGACAGGCCTAAAAAAAAAAAAAATCATGCTGTATCACAACAGACGCATGTGGACTAAAAGAGATAACAAATTTAACCTTGCCATGGGAGTGCATGATTCAGAAGCATATGAAACAGTGGGGCTATTTCTAATGTGTATTTCTAACATATGTTTGATATCAACAGCAGATGATGACTGCATGATAATACCATGAAAGAAAAAACCAAGAAGCATTGATAAATCAAGAAAAGAATTAGAGAAAAATGTTATAAAGACCAAGACCTAAAAATCACTATGACAACAAATGTAAAAGCGATCATCTTTCTTGAGGTGATCTTGGATTTAAATACTGGTAGATATAAAACCATATATAAAAGATTTAAGCAGCCAGAGATATGTAAATAGCAAATCAAAGCATCTACCTATTATACTTTTTATATATATATATATATATATATATATATATATATATATATACATATACACACAGAGGGTGATTGAAAAATATAATGGACTCTCCCGTCAAACTATAATTTTTACATTACAGGAGAGTCCATCATACATAAAATAGTGAGTTACTTTTCAATCACCCTATATATATATATATATATATATATATATATATATATATATATATATATTTTGAATAAAAGACAGACCACGTTAGGATTCCATGTAATAAGCTATTTCACCATAACCTTTAACAGGGTTCTGGATCATCAGACTTCTGCGTCAAAAAGAAATGAAAATGAATATGAAGTTCACACGCTTTTTACGGACCTCATGAAAATACGCAAAGTTAACGAAGTGGGGGAAGGAGGTCTCAGAGATGATGGAGTGTGTCATATGTATCATTTTAGTTTCCTGATTTTAACCCATTGTTGGCTAGATGTTGCTCAAATTTAACGATCTCGTCTCTAGATAAAGGATTTTATGGCTGAATGATAAGAACACATTAAAGGAAGACGTTTTTTTTTCATTCAAAACTTTTAGTTTGCGTTACTTTAATGTGCATATTTTTTAAGGTTTGATAAATATCTAAATGTTACAATCTATGAAGAAATTAATTTGAAATTAAATTTTTGGGTATTTTCTAAGAAGCAGTCAATTGAAAAAATCCATAGACAGAACATTGGAAAGCAATCCAATTTATATTTAGTAATTTTTTTTCCCTAAAACTTTTATCTTATAGCTTGTTAGGCTGATTTTTTTGTTTTTGTTCATTAAGTAAACTCGTGATTGGATTTTTGTTCATTTTTGATGGTTTTTGATTTTTGTTCATCAAGTAAACTCGTGATGGTTTTTGATTTGATTGGAGAATATGTGGTGTATATAGTAGATGTATATAGGAACTCATAGGCATATAAGGAGATATAGGTATGTGGTTTACAAATAGGGTTTAAGACATGTGTAGATAAGAAATTGTAAAAGAAGGACCTAATTTTCTGCTAGTGACATCTCTTCCAAATTTCTCCTCTAATATTCTCCAAATTGGAAGTGAATTTTAAATAGCACGAAGGGAAAGTTTAGATTGGTACTTTAATTGAGATTGAAAGATACTACCCCAGTGTGAGAATAAAATTATTTAAATGGGAATAACTGTTGATAATTGGGTACATAAAAAACAATCACGAGTTTACTTAATGAACAAAATCAAAAAACATGACGAGTTTACTTAATGAACAAAAATCAAATGAATAGATGTCAACCTAACAAGCTATAAGATAAAAGTTTGGGAAAAAATAAAAAATTACTAAATATAATTTTGATTGTTTTCCAATGTTCTGTCTATGGATTTTTCCAATCAACTGCTTCTTAGAAAATACCCAAAACTCCACCGAATTTCAAATTAATTTCTTCGTAGATTGTCTTAACATTTAGATATTTATCAAACCTTAACCTCCCAAATATGCACATTAAAGTAACGCAAACTGACAGCGTCTAAGAATTTGAATGAAACCTGTCATGTAATTTATTGGGGTTGTTGTAACGTCTTCCTTTAATGTCGTTCTTATCATTCACCCCTTAACCACGTTTATCTAGAGACGAGACGCGTTAAATTTGAGCAACATCAGTAGCCGACACTGGGGGTTAAAATAGAAACTAAAATGATACATATGACACACTCATATCATATCATCTCTCCCACCTCACTTCCCCACTTCGTTAACTTTGCGTATACTTGATGAGGTCCGTAAAAAAACGTGTGAATTTCTGTTCATTTTAGCTTTTGGAAGTAAAGTCTGATGATCCAGAACCCTGTTAAAGGGGTTATGGTGAAATAGCTTATTACATGGAATCCTAACGTGGTCTGTCTTTTATTCAAACATATCTGCTCTGAATTTTACATTGAGCTCTCTGGATATCATCCTCCTCAGGTCTACCCATACGGATTACCTAAATTTGCATAAACTATATATATATATATATATATATATATATGTGTGTGTGTGTGTGTGCATGCTGGATTGTCCTGCTGTTTTCAGTGTATGAAGGCCTACCAGTCCAGTTATAGAACTGTACTGCCAGACTATCCAGCTGTACATTTTTAAAAGAACTGATAACAGAGAAATGGTGTAGTGTACAAGAGGTTCCTCACATATGAATTCAGTGTTTCCCTTCTCCTAGACTGGTTACCAACCAAGGCTAGTAAACTCAGTTTACTCTACTATTTAATCCATAGAGGATGGGAAGAAGAAATGAATTCATACCTTTTCCAGGGGTATTTGTGTGGCAGTGAATGCATGGCCTTACATTACAGACAAGGCATTTTTTATGAATGTGCCTTTGTTTTTCTTTCATTTTTTTATATGGCTAAATGATCAGCTTTTTTGCCATTTTGTTACAATCTGCAAGAAGTAAATTCATTGTAGACTTGTCAAACCCTATAGAAGAACATCTAAATTTCAATAAGAGAAACTGAATTGATCTGGAGATTGGCTACTTGAGGACACTTCAATCCTTATCTCAGAAACAAGAAATGATCATTTTTATTTATTAACAAATTTATGAAGTAAATAAAATAAAGATAGTCTTTATTAAATTGTCATGAATTTATAAAATGACAAAAAAAAAATTAAAAAAAGGGAAAAATGTATTATTATCAACTCACAGGAACTGAATAATACTTCGCTGCTAAGGCAATGTTGTGACTTCCTTGAATGGCTTTCAAACTGTAAAACAAAAAGATAAAAGAATAAAAGGAAGAAGCCAATATTTTGCCTTTACAAAATCATCTAACCAAACATAAGACAACTAATTTGACCAATCAAAAAAAAAATAGAAAAGGAGACTTACCCTCCATTGGCCAAAACTGTATGTGTACCAATAATAACTTTGTTGACACGGGACATGATAGCAAAAACAGCAGAGTCTGTGATGAGAGTTGTTTCAATATTGGCATTGGCAAGCTTTTTGGCCATTTCCTGACCCTGGGAAAAACAGAATTAGGAATGTGCATTTGCAGAAGAAAATTATTCAAGACATGAGAAAAAGAAAGGATTTATTTTTTTTAAATCAGAAAGAAAAAGAAAAAAAATTAGACATCAATATAAAAAAAAGAAAAAGTAAAAGACAAAAGTGGAGGGTGGGGGAGAAATTAATTTAAAAAAAGGTCTCAACTCACATGGAAAAATGGAGCTCCTTCAACAACCATGACTTTGAATTTTCGTTTTCGGGCTGCACTCTAGGAAGAACAACAAACAAAATTAAAAATTACAAAAAGGCTTGGACAAATTTAAGAATGGAAAACAAAAAAGTGTAAATGATTCTGCTCTTTCCTTCTCATGATAGATATCCATTTATCTGGACCAAAATTCAAAAACCAATCTAACATCAATTCATGCCATTTGCTGCAAAAATCTTTCATTTTGTCTTTAGATAACCACAAATAAACAATACTTATCCTTTCCAGCTACCATATTTGGTGGTATAAAAAACAAATAAGTCAAAAATTAAATAAACTGAATTGTGAGGTAAGTACCTGTTTATAGTCCTTAATATATATATATATATATATATATATATATATTCAATTGAGAGTTTCCTTTATATATATATTATATATATATATATATATATATATATATATTTATTCAATTGAAAGTTTCCTTTATATATATATATATATATATATATATATTCAATTGAAAGTTTCCTTTATATATATATATATATATATATATATATTTTATTCAATTGAAAGTTTCCTTTTATATATATATATATATATATTTTATTCAATTGAAAGTTTCCTTTATATATATATATATATATATATATATATATATATATATATATATATTTATTCAATTGAAAGTTTCCTTTATATATATATATATATATTTTATTCAATTGAAAGTTTCCTTTATATATATATATATATATATATTTTATTCAATTGAAAGTTTCCTTTATATATATATATTTTATTCAATTGAAAGTTTCCTTTATATATATATATATATTTATTCAATTGAAAGTTTCCTTTTATATATATATATATTTATTCAATTGAAAGTTTCCTTTTTATATATATATATATATATATATATATATATTTATTCAATTGAAAGTTTCCTTTATATATATATATATATATATATAAATAAAAGTAAACTCTCAATTGAATTTGGTAAAAAATAGAGCATAATAAACAACCTCTCCCCAAATCAGACTGATAACTGATGATTACGGAGACTTAATCACTTTTATGGTTATTGTTTATTAAATAATGCCAAAGCTAAGCAATAAAGTTTAGAATAGCTTAAATGATTATTTGAACAGAGTTTTTAAAATCATTACAACATGTTCGTTTTTACATTAACATTTTGTCCTTTTGACATTATGTCCATTTGTCATTTAGTCAGTTCAACTCTTTTTCCGCTTGGCACTTTGTCTATTCGACACCTTGTTTTTTTGATACTTAGCCCATTTGACACTGACCTACTACCCCGACAACCGGGTCAGATTCCATGGCAAAGAAGCAAGTAGGCCAGTGTATCTTTTTTCTTCTACCATCTTCATGTCCACAATTTTTACAATTGCAACAGAAAATGTTAAATAGTATTCGACCTCTTAGGAACTAATTTTCATCATGCACTCTTTAATTAAAACCATAAAACCAGATGTCAAGCAAACATCTAAAGATTTATTTTTGATTTTTTTTACAGTTTTGTCCTGTAGACAAATTTATATGAGATTTGGTTTTCACTCCTGAATAAGATTTGCAACTGCAGATTAGTTCCTTGAGATTACATTTCCCGACTGAACTTCAGGTTGGGGCATGTCCTACTGTTTACAGTTAATATTGAATCTTCACAAGAAAGGTCCATATTAAACAGATAGTTTACATTGTGCCTTTCCTGGACTAATGGAAAATGTCTCCGCTAAGAAGGCTGTGACAAAATAGCTTGTATCATTTAGTCAGGAAGCCGTCACAATGTCATAAGTCAAGAGAAACTTTCAGTCAAACAAATATGATTTTTGTTCCATACAGAGAAAAACAAAACTTATGTATGTAATCAGATTTCATTTACACCTGCCACTTTTAAGACAAAATTTGAAATTGAGAAGAATTTAAAAAACTTACCTTGAGAAAAGTAAGAAGTGTTTTTGACTTCCCTGTTGTAAGAATTACTTCATTGTTGTGAATGTGTTCAAGAGCCTGTTCAGAAATATTGTCTGTGCTGGAGACAAGCAAAAACATACTTTAAGAGATCAATTGAAAATTAAGTGAATTGCTTTCTGATTTAGAAAAAATAAAATATTTCAAATCAAAGAAATTGAAAACGGGGATTAGGTGAAAAGATAATTCTTGACACACACATACTTCAAGCTACCTCGTGTTTGTTTGACATCTCATGGTTTTCTGAAAGTGCTTGAATGACAACAATAGTTCTAAACTAAGTGAGATGATAACTTTATCTTTGAATTCCATACGTAGTAAACAGAAATATGATTTCTCAGATTGATTCTTGTGCCAAAGAAATCCATATCTTTAAAAAGGCTGTGGGCATGTGCCTGCCGATGCCATTGGTTCCATGATACAAAGAAAAACTGGGGCAGACTCATTTCGTTGTTTATAACAGAAAACGGTTGATGGAATAGTCCGGATGTGTGAATGCACACATACGGATTAGTGTACCTGCCTTTGAATGCTTATAAAGTCAGTGAACAAGTGGCAAGGGGAAGAAAGCAAATTACAAGTGGCTCTGTGAATTTGTGACAGTTTGCTTTACCTTTACAAGTTATTTCAGCATGTAGCTGTTGGCATACCTGCAAGTGCACTGCCAGTTGTAACAAAAAGACTTGGTTCTCTCTTTTTGCCTTGCAGAGATTACACACCAGCTCAACTTCCTCAATCCATTTGACTACTGAAAGACCTGTAGCTGAACCATCAAATTCCAGGATGAGTTTGATGTTGAAAGCTTTGTCCTCCATCTGATAGCTGAAATACAATTCTAGTGATCAATGTTGGAGAAAGTTTGTACATTAAAACTCCCATTTTTGAAAACAAGAAGCATATATATATATATATATATATATATATATATACCCACTCAAGAGAAATACTTCAGAAAAATTGTTTCCCAGTTCTCTTTTGGCGGTTACCAGACTCATCTGGTACATGACCTCTGGCAGCAGCAGATAGAAAATAAAGCTTCTCTTGCGAAATTAGCAAAGAATAACTCGGCCAAGAACGTATATGATTCAATTTCTAAAGTAGGTTCTTGTTGGACACATTGGAAAGCAGGCATTCAATGCCATCATTATTTGTATAGCAAGGCACAGATTCATCTCTTCTACCCTTAGCTAAAGGTTAACAACAGGGTAGAGAGGACTCTCTAACTGTCACTAGCAACCAGTCTTGGAGGACACTTCTGAATTAAAAACAAGATATGTAGCCCTGGAAGGGTACATACTATACAGCCACTGAAAAGATTATGAATTAACTGTGACATGATGTTGTGGTCTATCTCAACAGATATAAAAAAAATTTTCTTTTAAAAATAGCAAGGTTTATAATTAACAGATCATTCACCATTCCAAGGGAAAACTGGTTTAACAATCCTGTTTAGCTTTGTATTGATTCCAAATATAAACCAAATGATTCAGATTTTTTGGTAATCATTAAATCCAATTACTGCATTTCTTCTTGTTCAGATACACTAATAATTTGTGTGGCTATGTTTTGGAAACAGAAAGAAAGATCGATGACTCATTGGGAGGAGACATGGTGCCCTAGTTGTTATAAAGAGATTCCATATTGCCCTAGATGCCATAAAGGTATTCCACTATTAAAGTATTAATCAGGCTGCAAGCACCAAATTACTTTAACCTGCAAAAACTGGTAAAACATCAATGATTTTTCTAGTGATGATTATGAATTTGTTTATTCAATACTTTACCAGTTTACACAATTCAGGGGCTTGAATCAAAGTCAAAAATCAAAGTACTTCCTTTAGAATTAAATGTCAGCAATGTGATATTTGACCTGAAAATCATGGGGGATACATTTTCAAAGTTTCTTTTTAGAGGTGCATTCTTTTGTCAGAATTCATCAATTTTGTTGTGAAAAGGAAATTAAATCAAGGAATCTATAGAAAATATGTAAAACATTCAATGCCACAAAAAAAGAAAAATTCTGAATCTCCACAATGAAAGAGAATTCAAGATTTTCTTTCTTTTTATTTTAGAACCTTTCTAGTATTACATAATTGATAAAATCCAATCACTTAATTCTTTTCTACATCTACTTGCCAAACACTTCCCTTTCCATGACAGGCAGTGTGATGCAAGATGCATCTGCACTTATACTCACTTCTCTTTATTGCCTTATCTATGCTGACATATAGTAAAAACACTTAAATATACAACATGCAGCACAAAAAGAACAAGTTTTTATGGTTATTTAGAGGTGAACAATTGATAAATAAATGACAAATTCTCAAAAAGTAAATAACAGATGATCATTATACAGTGTGCAGCAGAAATACCTCCCACATAGTAGTAAAACATTAGCTAGATGAAGACACGATTGCCACTAATGTATTACCATTATGTGGCAGGTATTTATGTCATTTATACACACACACACACACAAGGTGCGATGGATAAATTGTCGTCCAAATTGTGCAAAAATTGAAAATAAGACTGATATTTCATTTTAACAGGTATATTTACCAAAATTACACAAACATATCTTGAAATACTAAAGAGTTAATTTATTTAATAAAATTGCCATTGGCTTCAACCATGGGCTCCTGACAACTTTGAAATCTGTAATTCTTCTGAACGGTCTCCTTGTTTAAGTTGGTGACTTCTGCCATAATCTTTGCCTTCAGTTCATCTTTGATGTTAGAAGTTTTGTTGGTCTCTCGCTCAACTGCACCCCACACATAATAATCAAAGGATTTGCAGTCTGCAGAGTTAGATGGCCAGACGTAATGGGTGATGTGGTTTCAGAAATTGTCTGCATTATGATAAGTTCTGATTGTTGATTATATATACAGGGTGTTTGAAAAATAACTATTTTATGTATGAGTGGCCAGCTAGGAGTCCTGACTTAACACCCTGTGACTTTTTTTTCTTTGGGGTTGGTTAATGGAGCAAGTCTATTATATCAAACCAAGACTTTGGAAGAACTTCAAGAGTGAATACAAGAAGTTATGTCTTCCATACCACAAGAGTTCTTGGTGAAATCAGTTGATGTGATTCCTGGGCAACTTGAGAAGCTGGTAGCGAAATCTGGAGCCCATATTGAATTTTAAATAAAACCTTGTGCCAAATGCTTTCTTCTCATATCCATTTCTTGTAAAAAATTATGTTAATAAATAAATTATAAGTATTTTAAAATGGGGAGTTATATATATATATATATATATATATATATATATATATATATATCAGAAGTAATTTAAGTTCACAATACTTATCAGAGGTTGACTTAGTTTTATAATTTGAACTCTAGATTACTATTACGCATTTTATTGGCAGAAATTCTGTTTGCTTTGATACACATTTAATTATGTCATTTGATATATATCAATAGGTGGCATCACTATATATATATATATATATATATATAAAGTATAGTATATCTGCAAAAGGACATTATGAGTAAAGACAAAAGGAAAACTTATCTTAGCTGACATGCTTTGTCCTCATTTTAAATATAATAAAAATTTCAGATATAGTATATATATATATATATATATATATATGAGATGAGGTATTATGATTACTTACATTATTTGGACTGTTATCCTAATCTTTATTGCCATATTCACAATGTTTCAGCTGCTGTACACTCCAGCCTTCTTCAAGTGATTGGAATTTTGAACCGAACCCTTTATTTCATCCATCGGGGGTAGATTGTTCTAGCTCCACATGCCATGCTTCTTCTGGATGTCTCAGTTATCTCCTTTTAACTTAACTCACCAAGTTTTGGTTTACCACTACCATAGCCAGGTATTGAACTCACAACTATTTGGGTCTAGTCACTGGATCTAACCAATGCCTTTATGCCTGGGCCATGTGTTTTTGAGAACATCTGTGTATGGAGTTTTGGGACTTATAAACCTCAGGTCTCAGCAATCAATTTTTACCAGTACTCTTTTTGCAATTTTTCTGTTATTATTTCAATTTTTTACCAGAGATTATATTGCAATTTTTTTTTTTTGTTATTGATTACTTTTCTCAAGCACTCCTTATTACTGGTTCCTGTATTGTATTTTTTTTCTATGTTTGGCTAGCTCAGGAGATTTTTGTGGTCTAGCATATATGTAGCAGACTTAAGGGCACCTCAAGGTGGTGTAATGGTTAGCAAGCTTGTCTCACTAGAACAATTACGAATAAGTAGTGAGTTTGATCCTCACTGGGTGCCCCTTACTTTCGGCCTTGTGCCACATCCAAGCTACACTTGGAAAATCACTATGTAGCAGACATAAAAGAACTATTGGTTGGAAAATATGTTTTTGACTTCCACCCATTTTCTTTACTGTGAGCATTCATCTCAAGTAGGCATGAACTTTAGCTTACAACTACGTCTGCACCCTACATCATCAAGCGCCATTGTAAACATACAAATAGCAGAGAAATTTTCAGTTCAGGTGGGAGAAATCCACCAGCTAGTGAACTTCATATCAGCAGATGGAAGGAAAGCAGTCACTCATTCCTTTTTTTCACTCCTTCAACAACCGCAGCCAAAGAACTCACTGATTCACAACATTGCCATGGTAACTAGGTCAAGAACTGGGAACACCTCATATTAGCGACACCAGTTAAGTACTGTCTGACACTTTTCTTTCTACTATCTCGCAAATGTAATTAAGGAAAAGCCATTTCAAACTCTTCATCATGTGTACAAGAAAACCACTTTTACCTATATACGTGAACACTAATACTATACACAACCGAAGCACACACAGTCAATACATAGAATAAATGTTATTTTAGATTTGTTTAAACTGAGTTTTGTCTTTGTTTCAAATTGTTGCTTGTAAATGATGAATTTTGTATGTTCGAGGCTTCAGTGCTGTCCAGGCATTGCAAGCCCTCAACATATGTACTGATTCCTTAAGTTTTTGTATTTTCCAATGATGTTCTCTGTCTATTATTTCAGCTTCATCCCACAGGGGGCAGTGATCTCCCTTTTCCCTCCATATGGGGTCATCTATGCCTGACTTTTCTATTTCCCCTTGTGAAATAATGTTATTGCAGTCTTACCTTAAATGGGCAGCCTGTTTCTCCTTTATATTTCTTGCCACAGCTTCATGGGATGGCATACACACAGTCCTTAGTCATATTCTCATCTGGGGGAGGGGGGTTCTTACTTGGAAGAGGTGTCTGCGAAGTATTGAGCCACTTTTGAAGGCTGTCCTGATGTTTTATGGGCTACAGATCTGTTGAATTTTCTTTGATAATCCCTTTACATAGGGTAGGCAGACTGAAGCTGTTTTCTAAGTGTTGTTATCCTCTTGTACTCTTCTATCCTAGTTTGTTGGAGCTGTTGTCATATACCTGGGGTAGTTGTTCCATTGTAGGGTACTGCTTATACTGGCCATTTCTTGTTCATATGTCTCTGGATTGCCACTTATGACTTTTGCTCGATGTTGTAAGCAATGGACGATCACTTTCTTTACACTGTATGAGTGGTGGGAGTTGAAGTTGAGGTATTGTCTGGTGAATATAGGCTTGCAGTATATGGATGTCCTGAACCCATGCTCTGTTTGAGATATTAGTACATCCAGGAAGGTGAGTTTGTTGTTACTTTCTCTTTCCATTGTGAACTGTATCGATGATTTTATTGAGTTCACATGGTACAGTAGTAGCTGGACACCTTGGAGAGTTGAATTAAAGGTAAATAACTGAGACATTTGGAAGAGGCATGGCATGTGGAACTAGAACAATCTACCCTGGTGGCTGAAATAAAGGGTCTGGTTTGAAATTCTGATCACTTGAAGAAGGCTGGAGCATACAACAGGTGAAATGGGAATATGGCAATGAAGATGAGGATAATAGTCCAAATAATGTAAGTAAAATATATATATATGTGTGTGTGTGTGTGTGTGTGTGTGTGTGTGTGTGTGTGTATATATATATATATATATATATTATTTAGGCAGCATTTTTTCATTAATGCACGTTTCATTAAACATGAAAACAATAAACAAAAACTAAAAATTCTTGAAGCTATATACATAAAACAGTTGAAACCTAACCTGAACAAAATAAACTATGAAATCTCCACAAATATTCTTAAATGCCTATAATTGATAACAGAAGCCATTGGTTTATACCAATGACTTCCCATACTTAATACTTCTCGTTTTCACTCTCGCGTGGTCATGTGTGATGTCATGAGCTGCGCTGCGATTTTCGCTTCTGCGTCTTGTATACACAAGTTTGTCGTTGCTTGGAAATTTTCCATGCAAACAAAAACAGACTATCATTGTTTTGTCCATGTATTGTTTAATATATAGTAATGTAATTGTCATCTTTGATAATGGCTTATGTAAGCCGAAAGCTTAGATAGGATTAAAAAATATGTATCAATATGGTGATTCTCTTTCTTCGTTTAATGATAATGTTATTAAGCTTATCAAACGTTATGAAAAGAATTTACATAAAATAAATAAACAAAACTTGTCTATATCATTTAATGAAACATGCATCAATATATATATATATGAAATTAATGAATTCACATAGATCAGTTAATTTAAAAAAAAAATATAAATAGGTTGCAAGTATCCTCATAAGATTTTGACAAAGTAGATTGGGATTTCTGCCCAAAGGCATAAGTTTGAGTGTACCAAGAGGGAGGGGGGAGATAATCGATAATGTACCTGCTCTCCATTTCCATTTTGACTTCTTCAATTGCTTCCGTCACAGTTTCCTGCAAAAGTAACAAAAGATGGTAAACAACCACAGCATTAACAATAACTGAATTACAACAGAAAGCTTAACCCATTGATCAGTTATAGGTAGAAACCAGTAATACAAGATATTCTTTTTTTTAGAAATCTGTAATACAAGGTTTTTGCTTAAAAAAAAACAAACTTTAATCAATACTGGACTTTAATTTTATAATAAATACCAGATTTTATGGTGGCCATTAATAGGTTAAGCTAATAATGAAAGGATACTAATAGTCCCTTGGTTAGTCAAGATCACCAGGTGGTAAAACTGGAGTGATGGTATATGAATGTCTGATATTATCCAGATAACAAGGCCTTTCTCTTGGTCAAACCAATAAGATGCAAAGGAATGAAGTGCATTATGTCTTAGGGTTGGTTTGGCTGCAGAAGTTGCCAGAAGGAGGTAAATGTTAACAGCCAACCACCTTAGAGACATCAGATTTTCTGACTTTTCTATTTTGAACCATTTTGAACCACAAGGTAGCAGAAGTTTGAATTCAGAGTTTTTTCTTCTAGACTGACTGCTAAACAAGGCAAGTGTCCAGTCTATCCTGCTATTTTTTTTTTTTTTTTTAAATCAGAATCATCCCATGCATGGCAGTAATGCCCCTAAAACACAAGGGGTTACAGGGTGTGGAAGAATTAGGAACAGAAACATTAATGAGGAACAGAAAGAGAAGAGAGTAATCAGGAGGACAGTAGATAGCAATTGACATTGCATTTAAATTTTTGCAGATTAAAGTTGCTTGGGAAGCATGGGACCAGAAGGTAGTTCCACAAATGAGAAGTACGAGAGAATAAACTGTTAGCATAGAATTTACAGCTACATCTAGTCAACTCAACTGTAAATTGATGAGATCTCAACGCCAGTCTCGTGCTGCACTTAAATTCAAAAACTCTAGGTACCATAGTGAAGAGCTCATTCGAACAATTAGCATGAAAGTATTTATAGAAAAGACATAGAGAGGCAACCTTATGGCGGCTGGAGCTGAGCCACCAGATCAGGACCAATAATATTGCAGATTCTTCTTTGGATCTTATCAAGGAACTCAAGTTAAATAGTAGGGGCAACGGACAATATGTGACAGCAATATTCTAAGCATGTGGTAGAATTTATCCCATAAACAGAGGGAGATGGATCAATCACACAGACTTGCTTAGAATTTAAGCCCAACTTGCCAATTCTACACTAATGACCATTATGCTACCTATACATTACATGTGGAAAGGCTGTATATAGTTGTGTGAAAGTTGACTCTGCTATTTTTTTCTTCTCTTTTTTCATGCTACCCTAAACTATTCTTGTGACTTTAAGGAAATATTTTTTAACCAAAATTAGTAGGCTCAACTTTCATATGAGCATCTCGAAAATTTAATTTATGAAATAATAGCTTACATTAGAAAATAGGTTTCTATGACCCAACATGCTTGATGAGTTAATTCTTTCCAGGGGGACATAGTTCAAGCCCAATTTGAAAGCAAAATTTCCAAAAGGGATTTTCAAGGTAGATAGGCTCTTCCCACTTGGAATAATGGTAAAACACCATTTACCACAATCCTTCTTTTGGCATTTAGCCTTGTACCAAGCATAATAGATATCAATAGATTTGCATTTTAACAAATTCTGATTATGCATAACCTACAACATCGATATTTCTGAAACTATTCTATTTACATCATTCAAACTGTTGTCCTCATCTTTATTGCCATAAAGATGAGGACTTTGTTTTAGAGAGTTTTATTATTTTTTTGCTATATTTCATCTTACTGGCATTAATGAATTAAGTGCCAATGTTGGAAACAATTCTTTAAAAAGAACCTTTCTAAATTTAAAAGCAGAAAGGAAAAAAAATGTTTTTTTCCAAGAATTTTTCTTCTAAAATCTATTGTTCTAAATAAGCAGTAAACATTTTGACAACAATAGCAACAAAATAATGATCATGATTGACAAACCTTATTGAAGTTAGGTACTGAACCAGTGTAATCTTCATGAACGCCTTCGGTAAGTAAACGTTTCTGGAGGAAATGGAAGAAAAAAAAAACATTAAGACATTGGGATGAAAGCTAAAGCAAAGCTAAGGTCAAAACTTAAATACAAAGGAAAAAAATTACAAAAAGGAGAGACAACAATAATAGATAAATAAGAGAAAGAAAGAAAGAAAGAAAATAGTCACAGGTAAAGCATCCTGGGGATCATCTTTCAAGGTTTTTCCTTTGGCACTGAAAAAGCAAAGAAAAAAAACAATCTTCATGCTTTGTTCCTTACTGCATTTTTACAAAGACAAAAATCATTGACCAATTATAGTAAATCATTTAACAGTTTTTAACATTTCCTATTAATATCTTATTATAATGCTGCTGCTTGTCCCTCCCTTAGCACAATTATTACACCCTGTCAATACCTCATGAATAATGGACTGTTCTGTTTTGATTGAGTGGAAAGAAGGAAAATACATTAGAGATGCTGCTTGGTTTCAGTGAGAAAATGAAAGAAAGAAGGAAAGATAGAAGCATAACATTCTGTGTTTGACGTCTGTGTTTCAGTGAAATGGAAAAACTGGATTCTCTCTTGGACAGAGGAGGGGAGAAATGGAAAAAGTTGTCAATTTCAAATTTTTTCATTTATACCCACTTATTTATAATTGTTATTGCAATATTTTGTTAAAGTTGTTAAGCTCAAATATTTAACAATGTGATAGGGGAATTTCTATGGATATTTTGCTGTCATAGAACTTGCCATGAGTTTATCCAATCATTAACTTGAGAATTAAGATTCATCAGAAAATTCAAATAGGAAAACTTTGAAATTTTCACAGGTATTTCTAGAATATTTGCGTGTATCTGAATTCAAGTTTGTCAAAGCAATTCTGTTGAAAGTAGTTTCACAGTCAACAGAAACAAAACTTATCAAAATTAACATATTTTATGGTATCTAAGATTCCTATCTTTTCCATAAAAAAATTTCTCAATAATTTTATATTAAAAATATTGATGCATATCTAGTGAACAAGATGCCATAGACTATTAATACTAGTATTAAGTCCATAAACCTGTCATATTATTAACTGTGATGGTAGTTGTAGCTGCCTTATATGCTATTCAAGAGAAATGAACATTGCAAAAATTCAAGTGTTTCTATTGAACAAATTAATCAAGATTTTCAGATTATATACATTTTAATTGAAATATTAAACAAGTAGCAAACAATTCATATTTAATAAAATCTTACAAATTCAATCAACCTGCATATTTATGTACTTAACTTTATAAATCTATGGCACCATGTTAAAAAATATATAGTTCATGTCAAACTAAAGTATTTAAATGAAAGACTACTTTTCTAAATTGTTAATTTTAAAATGAAAAATACATCAAAACATGAAGTGTCATTAAATAATGACATCAGAACTCAAACATTAAATTAATGTCTCTTCTCCATAACTATTCCTCTTATTTAGTAAGGGGGGGATATTGCCTTCATCTTCATCAATTGTATATGGTCTTTAGTAGTTAATTAGTAATTTTTTTTTTATTTTTTGCCTCACCTTGACAAATACTGGACTGATTATTATGGCAAGAATAAAGAGTGAGAATCTAGCCTCTTGTTGATCTCCTCTTATAGAGAAGGTCACAGGTGTTCAAATTATATTGCAATCACTCATAATGTGGGATGCCTTGACTTCTCAAATCAGTTTTTTTTTTTTAATGTAGTGGTTTGTATAATCTACTGTTCATGGTAATCCCCCACCAAGATGAAAAAGAGGAAGAAAAAGGCAAACATCATGTGACTTTTAAAAGACAACAGACTGTGACAAGGAAGGGAGAAGAATATATCAGATGATAGACTGTTTTTCAAAAACTAGGATAAATGGTCATGAGAGAAAAAAAGGGAGGGGAATGATATTTAATTTCACAATCTCAGAAAATAGTATGAAAAATGCTGCTGGTTGAAGTATTCTGTTTCAGCAGTGTCTCGGAAACAGACATACACATAAGATTAGAATTTTAGTATTATATAAACATTTAAATTATTATTAGAGAGCAGCTAGAAAATACCAGGATGAAATTAATAAAACATTTACTTTATTGCAACTGATGACATTAATATTCTTGGCAATGACTAAAAATGGTTGAAATTACTGAAACAAAACCATCACAAACATTGGAAAGTTCTTCCATAAATTTGATTCACAAACTTGAAAAATGTAATAAAAGATACAGAGACAGACTTTGTCAGTCGATTTTAATAAAATTTGATTGTCGTATAAATGTGTCCCATTATTTGCATTGTTTTAGAGAAGACAAGAAAAATATTTGGGTCAAAAATGAAAAGAAGAATTTTGAGATAAACATTTCCTCCTCTTCACTCACCTGACATATTCTTCACGGATAATTTTGAGCACTCGACGCACCATATTTCCAATTACTGTTTCTGAAGGTTGCACAGACATCAAATTTTTGCCTTCCTCTCGAATAATCATCATCAAATCTCTGGAGAAAAACAAAAATATTATACTTGACTTGGCTTAACTTGGGAGCTGTACTTTAATATATTATGGAGAATTAACAAGATTAAAATCCAACCTGAAGAATTTAAATTAAAATATTGTACACATGTAACAAAAACAATATGGATGCTTTCCAAAAGATTGGGAATAGATGTGACTTGTTCCATTTTCTAGATTTGAAGAAAAAAAACCCCAAAAAAACAAATATTGTCTGAAATTCTGAAGTTAATTTACCATTACTCTGGTTAGTATTTAATCTTTTCAACATGTCTGACTTACTTGCTGGTTGACTCAATATTTTTTCAATGTAAATTTGAAATTTTCTTTCTCAGGTCTGTGAATTCTTCTATTTGAGAAAATTTTAACTTTTTTTTTATTCTTTTTTTGTTAATAAATAAAAATAAAATCACACACACAACAACAGTGATGTATTACAGAATGCAACAATCATCCAAAGAAAAGTAAAGGATCTACCTGTCTAAACATTACGATTAAAAAACAACAAAGATAAGGATACTTGTCTTAATTCATGGAAAAATAATTTCAATATTCAATTACAGAAAACAAAAAATTTATTACATTTTTGCCAGCTTTAATTTTTCTTCAAACTTTGTTTTGCACCAACCAATTTTTTTTGAATAGTAAATTTTTTTTTTTTTTAATGAAGGACAGAAATGAATAATTTTATTAACAATTGAAAAAAGATTAGCTTCAAAGTCTTTGGATATTTTTGAAAAGGAGAAAATTATCCAAAGAGGTGTTGAAAATTTCTTGGCTCATACAAGAAGACTTAAAAAAAAAAAAATCCATTTGGTCATTTCATCAAATTTTGTGAAGTGGGTTAGGCTGAAAATTTTCAGCACTCCTTTGTGTAATTTGAGTCTTGGTGAATTCTTAAGAGATAAAATCAAAGAAATAGTAACAACAGCAGTTACAAAGGAAAATAAAATAAAAGAACAACTTACTTGGCACTGTTCCATTCTTTCTGAGTAACAATTCCAATCAAAATGTCAAGAACATCAATGGCAATTTCCTGAGTTTCCAAAAACACTCTTTGTTTGAAAAAAAAATTAAAAAAAAATTAAACAATCAGTATTAAAATTTGATAAGCCAAGGTTTGAATGAGGAGAAATGAAGTTTAGAAAGACCATGATGCAGAATACTAAAAGGTCTAGCAAGAACTGAACTCATTAACACACACATACCCTGCAAGATAATCTGGATAAACAAACAAACAAACAATTGATAACAGTTGGCCTAGAAGCAGTGTAATATCTGGTAGAACAATCATAATGAGAAACTCTCAGATGTCATCTTACAAGATATCTTGATATATAAGAAATAAATGCTATTACTTTTAATATTCATCAACTTTAAATGTTTTACATTTAAAGTTGATGAATATTAAAAGTAATAGCATTTATTTCTTATATACTTTCAGCATGGAAACTTTATTTTGGGTACCTCATCATAGGGTTATGTTAAAGAGGTAAATACTACTGTATCCTGAAATCAATTCTCACTAGGTACTTCACATTTTTTAAAGCTTTTTAAAGGGTTTATGGTCTAAATATATTGATCACTAAAATTAAGCAACACTGAACCTGATGAAACTGCAAAGGATTACCACTTAACATCAAATACTGTAAACAACAGACCTCATACTGGCTAGTCAAGCAAACCATATCTACAATGTAGCAAATTCTGAGGGCCCCACACTTGTGGCCTTATGCCAGACTAAGCTATATTTCATAAATATAAAACCATCATTAGATCTGACATGCTTAGGACCCAGAGCGCATTGATGATCAAGCAAAGTTAAATAGTGTCTTTAAACACCAATTTTTCTCTGACTCTCAAAATAGACATATCTGCTCAGTTTCATATGCTAACATAAACAAAGCAATTTTTAAAGAAAGGAATGAAGTTCTTTTGTTTTTTATTTATTTTTTAATCCAACAGATTTTTATTACTTAAATGTTATTTTTAATGGATACTTGTATTTGAGTAGACATTCAGTTTATTTACACTAGGTGAACACAGATTTGAATCCTGCCTAAGAGAATATATTTTTCTCTAAGATTTCTCAAATATTCAGACCAGTAGATGAAAATAATAAATATATTGTTTAATAAATAAATGGAGCATATACTCAAACATAAGTAGCCATTAAAAATAATGTTTAAGTAATAATAATAATAATAATATATAAAATTAAAATAATCAGATCAGTAATGACGGGTCACTACTATTAGTTTCATGTGCTTTCACAGAATCATCAGGTAGCCAGTGACTTGTAATAAGATGAATACCCTATATACCACCTGGCAGGTTCAATTTGATAAGCAAACCAAACCCGCATGGTTGGAGGGGAGGGTAGATCATCCAGCCAAGGTCTGAAATGGCAAAATAACATAAAAGGCCTTGACAGTATAGCAAAAAGTGCTCAATGAAGTGAAACTAATTGGGAAACATATTTTTTGTGGTGTGTGTATATATATATATATATATATATATATATATATATAAAAGGCTCAACCACTAATATTCCATGGTTATAATTTATTACATTGGAATCGTAATCACAATCCAATTAATCAGACCTTTTGATTCTATCCTCTTGGGAATTTATGTGTGTGTGTGTATATATATATATATATATATATATATATATATATATATATATATATATATATATTTTTGAATAAAAACAGACCAATTTAAGGTTCCATGTAATTTCTTGATTTCTTTTCATTTCAACCTTTGGAAGTAAAGTCTGATGATCCAGAGCCCTGTTAAAGGGGTTGTGGTGAAATAACTTATTACATGGAACCTTAAAGTGGTCTGTTTTTATTCAAACATATCGGCTCTGAATTTAACATTGAGCTCTCCGGATATCATCCTCCTTGGGTCTACCCATGCAGATTACCTAGTTTTTCATAAACTAAATATATATATATATATGTTGGATTAATAAAATAAAATAAAAAATCCATTAATTCTTTAGAAATTGTTTTGTTTACGTTAGGATACAAAACTGAAAAGATATGAATGTTTCAAGAATCTTTCAGTAAATTTGTGCTTAAAGGAACTATTCAGCTTTGTTTGATCGGCTGGACCCTTCATGGCCAAGTTAAAGTACATCAGATCTAACAATGGTTCCTTCTGCTAGATAACTGCAGGTTCAAATCCTGACAAGAGGTGTATCTTTTCCTTAATAAGATTTTCTCTAATATTCAGGCCAACAGACAAAAATAAATATATTGTTTAATAAATAAACAGAGCATCTATTCAAATATGGGTATCCACTAAAAAAAAAGATAAAGTTTAAGTGATTATATATATGTGTGTGTGTGTGTGTGTGTGTGTGTGTGTGTGTGTGTGTCCAAGTATAGGATTGGTGTATATGGAATAAATTCCAATAAATATGTTATAAAATCACTACATTTTTTATGACATATTTATGTTATAATTTTCAAATAAATAATTATTTATATATATATATGTATATATATATAAATAAACCGTTAATTACAAAATTACAAAAAATTTAAATATCAAAAGCTGCTTTCCAAATAAGTACTAGTGGACGAGTGATACTATCAAATTAGTGTCTGGTATTAGTAATATAGGAGGTGCAGGTAATGTTATGCATATTAGTGTGGAAAGTGAATAAGATCTGCAGAGTTCATTTGCCACTTGATTCTGTTTTGTTCACTTAGCACTAATGCCCTTGGAAAAAGCATGAATCCATTCCTCCAGCTATGGATTAAATAGCAGGGCAAATTGGGGTGTCTTGCCTGTGGCAACCAGTCTAGAAAAAAGAAAACTCTGAATTCCAAAGCAGCCTGAAAAGGGTTGGGTTCTGTTGGGCTATCTTACCCTAAACACTCAACTGGGTGCATTAAATGTGGTGCCTCTACAACCCTAATGATTTTGATTGATTATTTGTTTAAAGGCATATCAACCCTTTATGGGTCATTTAGTGCCAAAATTTAATTTTCTTGGGAACTTTGCAGAAATAAAAATATATGTTATTCTGCTTTCACAATTGAATACATGGTAGATGATACTCAGATTTTGGACATGGTTTACCAAAGGTGGTGATATTTATGTTTTATGTTGCAGTCTAAGTTATATTTTGGTTTGGTTCGTTTTGTTTTATGGCATGTCAACCTCAATGGGTTATTTAATCCCGATAATTTTTATTGCTGGTAATATTTTTTTTTCAAAAATGTATGGTTGGTAATATTTTTTTTTTAAGTAGTGCTGGTAATAATTTTTTCCTTCAAATAATTATTGCTGGTAATAATTTTTTACAGAGCATTTCTGGTATTAATACCTATTTTTACACTTTCATAGTGTTTTCACCCCAGTTTGGGAGTTAACTATTTGCCCGTAACTGGGACCCTAGCAAGTGCTACCACTGCAGGTCATGGTGGACCTGGGAACACCAGCAATTAAGAGGTTGTTCTACGCTCCTCAAAACCTCCTGATCAGAGGCCTTGCTGTTGGACGTAGTTTATCGTCATACCCAGGACGTGGATGTAGTTTATCGTCATACCCAGGACAGAAGTCATATTTTGGAATACAGTTTGATTTTTTTAAGAAATTGTAGGATATTATATGGATTAAATGTCATGAATGTGTTCTTTCATGTTGATTATTTGGTTGATTTTCTTTAGCGGCATATCAAACACTATGGGTTATTTAATGCTGAAATCTAAATATTTTGAACACAGTTTTATAGGTTCAACTACAGATAAAAAGTATTGTTGGTCATTTTGCTATAAAATATATTGCTGGTAATTTTTTTAATATAAAAATGTATTAATGGTATTTTTACTAAAAATATGTATTTTTATATTTTCAAATATGTATTTTTATACTTACTTGTTTTTGCTTGGGGGTTATCTATTTGCCCATAGCCTTGACCCTAAGAGGTGCTACCACCCCGGATCAGGGTGGACCTAATGGGATTATGGAACACACACTCACATTTAGTAATATAGGCATAACTAGTTTCATAGTTATTAGTAAATACAGTTTCAAACATAATTACTAAATAAATACCCGTTGGAAAAAAATAGAATTTTTGATCATACATTTTTCCATAATAATTGATTACATAGTTATTTATTGCTTCAATTGAAACAATTGCGAGTAATAATTGGTTACATATGATGAATTTTATAAATATTTTGATGATTTCAAATATTGATGGTGCAATAATAGCAAGTCTTCCTAAGCCAGTTTAGCTATGTAGCGAACTAAACTTATTAAGAGGGTGATTTATTTTGATAAATTTCCCAAAAGCTTGTGACTAAGTAGACATTTCACGGTACTGTCCATGAATATATGTCGATGACAAATACAAGAGAAAGCAGAGATACAATAATTACAAAGTTATTAATTAAAATGTTAAGTTAATGAATGAATGCATGAAGTCTGACAATGCTTTCACTTGAAACTGTTTATTAAACAAGTCAGGACTTGGTATTTAAAGTGAATAACTTGAAAGAATGAACCTTACACAAAAGATGGTTACGACCATGAATTAATAATTGCATATTGAAAATAAAAATAACAACAAAAAACTAAAAGTCACACACCTTACGATTTTGAAAGAGTTACTTTATTTTTAAAGTAGATTTTAGTTAATGTTTTTATTTTATTACTATACTCGTTCTTTATACTGTTTTGTACCAAACAACTCTTGACGACTTTCACAGACTTATATAAAATAAGCTGATAATAAGCATCTTGAATTTTTTTTATGTGCGGGTGGTGCAACGGTTATCGACACGGAAAATGGAACCGGCATTGCGAATTCAAATTCCAGGCAAGGCTGTTGTGTTCACTTTAAAATAAGTATGTCCACTATTTCGGCATAAATTTTCTATATCGAAGTTTAAAATGAATTTTTACAACGAAAAAAAATATTCTTGAAGATTTCATTTAGCTTTAATCGAAAGTTTAATAATTAAATGTACGATTTCTATTAATTAAACAATTCTGGTGTATTTCAGATAGAAACTATATACGTTTGATTGTCAGATTTAATTTCAAATTTTAAATTTTCAAAACGGCCATTTTCTTAATTTTAAGAAATTTGTAAACAAACACAAATTTATCGATTTTTAAAATATTTAAAAAAATTCTGACACGTTATTTTAGTAAAATTAAAAATTTAAAGTTAAAGTAATCTGATTTCAAAGAAATCTTTGTTACTTATAGCATAAAAAAAAATAATATACAACCAATTATTAACGAGCGGTCCCGTTCAGTTGTTCGATCTTACTGATAATGATTGATTGACGAGCCGATGACAGCTACTACTGATGACCATAAATGACATAATTTTTTAAGTCTGAGTTTTTAAAAAATTATTCTATTTGAGTATGACACACACTAATGGAAATACAATACATAAAATAAAAATTATTTAGTGAAATAGTAAATGAAAAAAAAAAAAATAATTTAAAATTTAAAGTTTACACTTTTACAGCTGATCGGAAAATACAATCTGTTAATAAACGAAATGTTTTAAAGGACAAACCCTTAGATCACGTGACCTTGTTATAATAATGGCAATTTTTTGTATATCATACATGGAAATAAGGAATGTATTAAGTAAAAAAAATACAACATAAAAATTATTTTTAAAAAAAGTAGCTAAATTTATTAAACTTAGCAATTTTGATTCGTAAATTTTTTTCTACTTAATTAGTACATAATATCGAGGAACCCTCCTAATACAGAGCTTTACACGATTTAAAACTATTATAAATTATTATAATTAAAATTTCTTAAAAAGGAAAAAATTTTTGTAAAAATTAATTATTCATCAGAAAAATTATTTCTTCAGACAATAATGTCCTTAATATTACTTATTTTACAAAAGCAATTAAAAGCTTTTCTAATTAAGTAATATCATAGTTTTATTGATTCATTATTTTTCAATTCAGAGCAGATTTTCAGTTAAATAGCTCAAATTTGTGAAAGAAAAGTAGATTATTTACCATCTTCGAAGACTCCTACTTTTAAAAAAAAAAAAAATTCAGGAACCAAAAAGGTTTTAAGGAAATTTCATTAAATTAAGTAAATGTGGGTAACATATTTTAAAAAATATAATTTTTACAAAATTTTCTAAAAAAAAATATTTCAAAAATAATTTCATTCATTTGTGAATAAGTCCTGAAAATTTCATTAAGATTGGACAATTATTTTATTTTTTACAAGAATTTCCAAATCAATATGTTTTCAACGGTAAAAAAAAAAAAAAACTATGTTATTTTAAACGTCGCCGCGATGACGTAAACAAAGACGATTTTAACCAAAATTTCGAACGTGTTAGAAAATATTAAAAATTTCAAAAATAATTAAAAATATTTTTCTTTCATCTAAATAATAACATAAGCATTTTGACGATAATACTTTATTTTCTTTAAGTTTGTGGCATTTTCATTTTTACACGCTTTATGCTGTTTTTCCGCGAAAACAGTGGACATGCTTACTTTAAAATAATGTCCATTTAGGAAAGAAAGCTAAGAATCCATCTCCAGCTATATGTAAAACAAAACAAAAAAAGAAGAATGAGTAACCAACTAAAAAGGAATTCTAAACTCTAAACCGTGAAGAATCCATTGCTTTTCTGAAAGAACAGTCACACGGTAAATTTAAAATATTTAAACTTAAAAGGAGGCTGTGGAGAGCCTAACAGCCTACATTCTTAAAGATTTTATATTTCTTCAATTATGTTATCATTTTTACCATTAACATTAACAAGCAGTTGTACTTGTAAATTGTCATATTATTTTTATAAGCTTTGGTCAACAAATATTTGTTTTTTTTTGTGAAACTAAAAACAAAAAACAGGAGGAGGCTTGGATTGTTTTTGTTTTTTAAATTATCGTAAAATAAAAAATAACTTTGATTCCAACCAGATTTTGCCATGAACAATATTAGCAAAATTTATATTTTATGATGGTTGACAGGAATGGTTTTTTGTGGAATTGTTTAATAAGAAATTTGTTTAAAAAAAAAAAAAAAAAAAGAAATTTATCAGTATTTTTGATTGATAAACATTTTAAACAGTTTTTTTACCATAACAAATAAAACATAAAAATAAAAACAAAATATATAAGGCAAGACTGAATTTATGTAGAATTGTAAATTAAATTTTTATAAGAGAGTAATTAATAAAATACTTAAATAAATTTAGGATTAAAAATCATTAAAAAATTGTTTTATTTTTTATTTAAAAAAACATCTTTAATCGTATTCATTTAAAAAATATTGACTCATTTTTTCGACAATAAATTAAAATATTTTCTAAATTTATCAGCAACACATAACTTTAACAAGACATTGTAAATAACAATCAAATATAGAAACAAAGTATTTATTTTATTTTTAAAGAGAACAATTTTTTTAAACACGTGAACAGTGGGGAGAAAAGTTAACCATTTTTTAAACATTGGAGCTAAAAAAAACATTATTAACCAAAAACAATTTATTTCACTTATTTGCAACAATAAAAGATGCATTACCCTGTCTTCAGTTTCTTTGTTAACCTTTTGATATTCCCGTTAAGGTCAGTTTTATCTCTTTTTCGTACTGTTTTCATTTTTTCAACTTTATTTCAGCAATGACCAACAGGAAAGTGAAGTTCTTGAATTATCACTGCGCATGCTCAATGAAATCAACGTTGTAACACGTCTCTGAACGCTAGCTTCCTGTCGACCATTAAAAAAGCATAACGGTGCTCTGCCTTTTTCAACACTCAAAGAGCACAACATGCTTTTCGTCCTCTGTTTCTTTGGCAGAGGTCAGAAAAATGCCAAATTTTATGACTCGCCATTGGCGACAATATCGCCATCGCTTTGTGCCTTGGCTAGCTATCAACTGGGCTCAAAGGTAAAAGTAAGCTATAAAAATAAGAGAAAAAAAAGTCGAATGTTACGAACTGGAAATTGTTTCAGTTTAACTAAACTTTTGACTGAGTCTGTCATTGAGTGCCATTGATTGTTTTTATATTTATTAAACTTTTTTAGGAAAATTTATTTAATTATGTTGAAATTCCAGGAAAAAAAACGATTGTAAAGTGATTTTTCTTGAACAAATGACTTAACACTAACAGCTATTTTGTTTTTGTTTTGAATGGAGTTAAAAAAACAACAACAACAAATTCTCAAGCAAAGTTTATGCCATTTTATTTTCTCTTTTCCTAAAACTGTCAACAATTAACTGGAAAACCGAAGATGCTAATTAAGTTTAAAAAAAAAACCTCTTCTGGGACGTTTTTTTTGGTCATACTGTATGACCAAAGAAAATGTCCCAGAAATCTTATGTATGACTTACGTAAGATTTAAGAATTTAAAAATGATTAATTCCCATTTGTAAACAAAAAAAAAGGGGTGGTATTCCCGGATGCCTGCAGCATCTTCAAGAGAACGTAACAATGAGGGACGTGGACAATATTTGTCCACTTATGCCATGGGGTTCTTCTTAATCTTATTTAATTTGTCATATTTGCCTACCAAATTTCTGATTATTCTCAAAATCGGTTAAACTAAAGTGTGTAGTCAGTAGTGAAAGCAAGTTCATGGAAATCCGTGTCTCAGGGAGTACCTCTCCATTGCACAAAAAAAAAAAAAAAAAATAATAATGATGGGGTGAGTCAGTTCAGATGTCCATTGAATATCACAGGATCTTTTTGTACTTGTGTGAGAGGATGCATTGAAAGAAAACTAATCATAAAATATTTTTTTATAAAGATAATATTTTTTATAAAGATAAATACCCCATTTTTTAAAAATCTTTTTTATTTTTTTATCCGGGATGGGGAGGGGGGCGTTATTCTACAATGTTTGCCTTATTTGGATGCACCAATTCAAAACCATGTGCAAAAAGATAAAGAAGTTAAATTTCCTAAATGTCATCCATCAGTAAAGCCCCCATTCCCTCATAATTGTTCAGAGAGAGGAATAAATAAATGTACCTCTATCTGGTAATTCTTTCTACCATAACAAGTGTTGAGTGCATAGATCAAGAATAATTATGTTGTCTAACTTAAAAGCAGCTCTAAACTCGGGCTTTTTTTAGTCTTGGTTTGGAGAGAAATTCGAAAATAATTGACATGCCAAATGAAAATAAAGTAGAGTTATCTCCCATGGTACTAACTTCATTTTGGAAAATATGTGTAAAAATTATCTATTCTAGTCCTTTATTTCAAATCACGTTTTATTCTTTTTTACCAGTACATATAAGGAAAAAACCATGATGAGTCAAAAGTGTTAAACAAGCTTTATTCATTTCTAATTAATTACAGTCTCATTCGAATTGAAATAATTTTTGATAGTTAATGGTTTGCAATTAAAAGTTAGTAAACGAAAAAAAAAAAAAAACTCATGCCGAAAATGGTGTTATATTTTAATTCTTTAGTAAAATTTTGTTTTATTTAAAAATTCAATTAATTTTCTAAAGCACTGTAAAACATTATATTTAAAAAATATCTCTTGGTGATATTTAAATCATACGAAAGTTCTTAAAGGATATTAGAATAAAAAAAGGTTCATTTTATTTTTACATTTTGAGAGGTATGGAATTTTGTTATTGTTAATGTCAGGAAACTATTCAATTCAGCAAAAAAACAAGGAATTTGATTTATTTTAAAGTTACCAAATTTTGCAAGCTTGTTGAATGTTCTGACATTTTATAACTTAAGTGTGGTGCAAGAAAATCCAAATTAACTGTAAATCCTAACTATAGTAGGTTTTTTTGCAAACTTTAGTAAACTGCCATTTTGCAATAGGCAATAATAGTCATGGTGCATGAATATAGTTAGGGCTGTATTTATTTTTAAAATATTAAATGTTTAAAAATAGAATTATATGTTGTATTAAATGTAGAAAGTTTGAAATGCTCAGGACATATAATTCAAGTTGAGAAAAACTTTTTGGTGGCATGTTGCTATATTCTAAATCAAGTAAAAAAAAAAAAATATTCACAATTTCTTAATAATGGGGTTTACAAATAAAAAACATTTTATTTACTTAGATTTGCTTCTGATTAGACAAATTTCTTTTTTTTTTCAAAATCTTTTTCACCCAAGCAAGGTAATAATGTCACTAAGAAGACACAAAGACTTACTGGGATTCAAAGAGAATGATAGGAGAAAAACAATAAAAAGAACAAGAGTCAGGAAGACAAGATGACAATTGGCAAGGCATTTAAATTTTGAAGATTATAGATGGCAAGGAAAAAAAGAAATTTAGAAGAGAGTTCCACAAGTGAGAAAAGAAATTATTAAAATAGAACACATGGTTGCATCTAGCTAGTTTGGCAGTAAAACAGTGATACCTAGTAGCACACTTAAATTCATGCAGTCAAGGTGCCAAGGAGGAAAGCTCATCCAAATAATTGCCATGAATTTATAGAAAAGACAGAAGGAACTTATGTCATGTTGGTAAGAAAGTGACTGCAGTTGAGATGCCAGGTCAGGACTAATAACATTACAGACCTTTTTGATTTTTGTTGAAACTCTTGAGATGTACAGCAGAAGCACCAGACTAGACCAGGCAGCAATGTTCAATACACAGATGAATGGTAGATTTATAAATGTGCAAGATGATGAGAAAAACTGTCTGGTATAACACAGTGAACCAACTTCTCTAGCAGTAAAACTAGCAATTGATTTAATATAATCACTTCATTTCATGTCTGGAAAATGTGAGTTCAAGTAAGTGCAAAGAGTTACTTTCCTGGAGTTTAGCATCAGCCATGCTGATGAAAGGCAGCAAAGGTTCTCTGTGGTGATTAAATGACAGCAATTTTGATTTGGAGGTATTAAAATTTACAATCCATTCCTTGCCCCAGTTAACTACTGATTGAAGGTTATTTTCAAGAGCAGCTCGCCTAATTTCATTTCAGCTGTTGAATCCCAATCATTTTTTTTCTACACAACAACTTTGATTTTTCTACTTCTGTTTTTTCTATGGTTCCCACTTTCATTTTTTATATAATTTAGTTTTGGGCTTTTTTATGATTTTTAAAATTTTATATTTAGATATTACTAAAGTAAAATTTTCATTTCCCTGATTTAGTAAACTTTATTTATTTATTTAATTACAGTTTAAAAGAAGTTTAGGTTAGAATTCATTTTAATGTACTACAATTTTAATTACAACTTCAAAATATTTTCATTAGTAGTTTTTATAGACTATATTTCATTTAATAGAAGTAAATAGAGTTAGTTACAGTCAGTAAAATTATTTTTTCTATATCAAGTATATTTATATTACGATTTTTTTTTAAATTTTATATTTAAATATTTTTAAATAAAATTTTTTTCTTTACAGCAAAAAATAGCTAATTCATTTCTCTGATTTAGTAAACTTTATTTATTTATTTAATTCCAATTTCAAAGAAGTTTAGGTTAGAATTCATTTTAATTAACTACAATTTTAATTACAACTTTAAAATATTTTTATTATTAGTTTTTATAGACTATAAATGTATTAGTGTTACCTACAGTCAGTTTAGGTTAGAATTCATTTAATTAAATATATATATATATAAAAAGTTGAAGTTTAGTGTTAGCTTTAGGCGTGAGAAAACACCCATCCATTGTGATATGTGAAAGTTCAGGGTCTGCTCAGTAATGGTGGAACATTACTAGTTTGATTTTCGATGTATTGAACATTAAAAAGCCAGTCCTTTCCCCAAATAGGATACCAGGGCTAGGTCAGAGGAGAGATCAGCTATCAGGTCAAAAGGTCATCTAGATTTTTGGCAGTGCACCTATAAACTATTGTATCATCTGCATATATATTTATTAAAGATTGGAATATGTTCTTATGCAGCTCATTAATATACAGCTGAAAATGGAGAGGACTGAAAAAAGAACCTTGAGGAATGCCAGTATTGCTTTCATGGGTTTCCTATGACCGTCCGTTAACAACAACCTTCATGGACCTACATATTAGGAAAAACTTGATAATTGAGAAAGTCCTTCCAGAGATTTCATAGCTTTTGGGGAGTTTATGTATCAGCCCCAATGCCACACCTTGTCAAAGTTCTGTCTAGTGCAATAGTCCTGATGATGAATTTATTGTCTAGTGCCTCACTGATTCTGTGAGTAATGAGAGTTAAGACATTAGATCTAGTAGGGTGAAATCCATACTAGTTATGAAGTTGTTCCTATTGAGGTGGTCAACAAATTTCTTGTTGATTATAGATTTGAAGAGTTTGCTGATGACACTAACAAAGCTAATGGGTTGATATTGCAATGGGCATGAGCACTCACCTGCATACCTAAAAACAGGGCACACAGTTGAAACCTTCCATAGACTTGGGAAGTATCTCTCCTTTAGGCAGCAAGTTAAACAGTTTTGCCAGGATTGAAGATAACTCTGTGCTGATATTCTTAAGAACAAACACTGGGATTTTATTTGGACTGGTGGCTTTTCTTAGAGTTGAGGCTTTTGATAAGTCTGGGAACTTTCTGTGCTGTGATAGAGAGATATGACATAGTTTGTGTGTTCTGTGAGAGGTGGGAAGTCAGGTAAAGGATGGTCCTTATCATCTAACATAGAATTAGAGGCAGAGAGCCTTGGCTTGCTATTTATGAAAGCTGACCTAACACTGATGCTTTGCTTCTATTGAGAATTGAGATTTTCTAGAACTTGCAGGAACCAAATCTTTTGTTTTCAGCCTTGGCTTGACTGACTGACTGAATAGTTGCTCTTGCATTTTCTACAAGTTTCTTTGCAATGATTGCAGGCAGTTTGGAATGCCACAAGAGTCTCACTACACCGTTCTCTGTGGCAGAAATGGTAGTTGTGTTTACAATGGGTTCTGGTTGTAGTACATTCTGACAGAAACCCAGGCTGGCTATTTGGATTCAGTTGCTATTTTGCTTTGGAATAAAATTATCCATGTCTCAGAGAATCCAACTGATTAAAGATAAAATTAGAAGCAAATTTTCACAGTTAGGATTAAAACCTGATTTAAAACCGTTATACAATTGTAATATCTTCCTTGTATCTCATCTTTAACACAATACAAATATTTATTACTGCGGATAATTATGAAATATTACAAAAAATATTTCAAAACCAATGAACATGGAGGCACGGAGGAGTAAATGTTAGTGGCTCAGGTCAGGGAATCGGAGAGCCAAGTTCAAATTTATTACATTCATTTACGTGCTAATACCCTTGGGAAAGGTATGAATCCAACTCTTCTCTCCCAGCTATGGGTAAATAGCAGGACAAATTGGGTCTTATAGCCTTGATTGGCAGCTAATCTAGGGAAGAAATCTCTGAATTCAAGTCAGCCTGGAGAGGGTTTGGTCTCTCTCTCAGGCTATCTTTGCCCAAGACACACCACTTCTACTGCAGCTGTAGTACATGTGGTGCCCCTATGACCCTAATGTGTTACGGGACTTGTGAACACGCCTCATGTTACCACAACAATGGAATATCTCATTAATAAATAATGAAAACAGGTTGCTAATACATTGCTTTTTATTTGATATTCTTAATCATTTAAGAGACAAGTCTTTTTTTAGTTGTCACAATGGAGTTAATTGTATGAATAAAAATCCTTCACATGCAGAAAATATAATAAATGAAATTGAAAAATTACTTAAATATAGCTGTCATTTTTTGACATTACTGATAAACTAATTAAATATATTTACCAAGAAAGCAAACATATGAAAAGTGAAATGAGTTTTCTTAAGTTGTACTTCTTAAATAGAAATCTAATCTCATCATTCCTAGCTGATTATTTCAGACAATAAGTTTATTTAGTGTGACTGGTTACCTCCCTTGAATTAGAAATTTATTTAAATTCTAACTTCAGATTTCCTCAACATTCAAATAACCATCAATGAATATAAAATTCAATGAGATCCAGTCAAAATGTTATAATGCAAAATTCTATATCATAGCATTGTACAAAGTTGGCCTAGATTGCCAGTCTTTGTACTGTTTTTCTATCTTTTTGCTTACTTTCACTTCAGTATACTTTTAAAAACATGCCATGTCTTGTCTATTTGTGATTGATCATGAATCTCCAAAATTTCCTTTTCTTTATTATCTGCGAATTGCCATGACTTCTTTGGAAAGATATGGGAGTAGTGAGTCAGCCGTTCACTTTTGAACAGACTGATCGGTTCAACTCTGTCTTCGACAGAGAGGAACCCGAAGGAGGCTATGCCAAGGGCGGAGTCTCCTTGAGGGAGGTAAACAACCTTGAACCCGTTAATCTGGGTTCAAATGGAAATTTTTGGGGCCGAGACCACGGGCTGGAAACCCTAAATAAACAACCAACCTTGTGTCACATGTTGCCCCAGTGGGGGAGACTCAATATCGTTTCCCATTCCCTTCTCCACATTTTTTGAATTCAGTTTTCTTTTTGCTTAGATTGGTTGCCACCCACTATTTATTTCATTGCTGGTGGAAGAGATGGATTAACAACAGCATTAGTTCAAAAGTGGATGCCATAGATTTGCCCAGAATTTGAACTTGGTATACTCATGCAACCCTATATAGTTTTTAATTTCATAAATTTTTAAAACTATTTTGTAATTCATGATGATGATCAGTCATATGGCTGGGTGTGGTCGTAGGATTACCCACAACTAAACAGATACTACCACATTTCTGAGTCGATAGCCAGGTAGGTATTCATCCATGTGTAGTGTGTTGTGAGTGAGTAGCCCTGTTAGGGCCCATCCTTCTTCAGGTCAAACCACAGCTGATGTCTTCCAGCTTAAAGGCTTGTTTTGATCACAAACAAATGAATATTGGTTCCACTGAGGAAACCAATGTTCTGGGCCCCTGACTTCAGTTTAGGAAGCCTTCTACTCAGCAATGCCATGTGATCACCAATTGCCTGCAAAGAAGTTCAAGTTATCCCATTGTGTGCTTGATGCTACAGAAGGTTTTATCCACTGTTTGACAGATGTTTTTTAATCCTGATGGGTGTCTAGCCACTATCCTTACTGGGAAAACTTGGTGAGGGAACCAGTTTAGTGATACTTGTTGAGTACATAAATAAGCTAACTTTTGTAATTATCCTGTATATTAACTGATGTATAATACTGTAAACAATAAAGATGAAGATACTAGTCAGAAAAATATGTGGAATAATAAAAAAATCCATTTTCTAAAAAGAATCAGAGCTTAAAATCAATAAATAAAATTACAGCTATGACCACAAAAATGAATCACTCTAATTTCCTCCATGTTACAACATTGACAGCTTTTTTCCAAGAACTGCTATTTGGAGGAGCAGCTCCTGCATATATGCTTTCCTAAACACTACAATTTTTAACCTTTTCAAGTCAAGGGTCAATTGTTATCTATCTTTATTCTCATGATCTTCATTTCCTACCAACTCATATCACACACCTCATTCAGTAGCTCTTTGCCTCGAGTGGCTCTCGAGCCTTGTATTAGGCGAACTTTAGTAAAACAAAAAAAAAACTCCTACAAATGAATGTAAATTTTCTGCTTTCAGAACTAAAAGATATGCTGACAGTGAAGAGTCTGATATTGTCATTGATACCAAGGCTATCCACCAAAAGTTTGCTTCATTTATGTGAAATCCTACACAAATCTCAATTCACTACACCCCTCATGAAGCCTCAACAAATAGCAGAGATGAGTTTTCCATGGATACTTTTCTCTCAGATCAGCAATGCTATTTACAGAATCTACAATATGTACATCAACATCTGGGATTCTCTGTTGAACATAAAGTCAGTCAGTTGGTTGGAGGGGCACAGGTGTGCTTGTAACAAAAAACTGTCCCCAAACATACCCCTGATTGGACTTTACCCAGGTGAGAGGAAGCTTAAAAAATAGCATTTATATTTTTATTACACATATTATTATTAATGTATCAAAAGTATTTCCATTTTTTTACAGACCCTTACTCCAAAGTTTATTTCATGTACACATCTAAAGACTTTGACTTCAGTATATTAACCTATAAATGCCTCCTGTTCTATTTTTTGGAACAGTAGGCTTTAATGAACTAATACCATTGGGATATATATGAATCCATTTCATGATTTTGAAACGGGTGGTGCAACGGTTATCGGCTTGGAAAATGGAGACCAGCATTGCAATTCAAATTCAGGCAAGGCTGTTGTGTTCACTTTAAAAATAATGTCCATTTAGGAAAGAAAGCTAAGAATCCATCTCCAGCTATATGTAAAACAAAAACAAAAAAACAGAAGAATGAGTAACCAACTAAAAAGGAATTCTAAACTCTAAACCGTGAAGAATCCACTCCATTGCTTTTCTGAAAGAACAGTCACACGGTAAATTTACAAATATTTAAACTTAAAAGGAGGCTGTGGAGAGCCCTAACAGCCTACATTCTTAAAGATTTTATATTTCTTCAATTATGTTATCATTTTACCATTAACATTAACAAGCAGTTGTACTTGTAACCAAGTTATTGTCATATGAAATATTTTTATAAGCTTTGGTCAACAAATATTTGTTTTTTTGTGTGAAACTAAAAAACAAAAAACAGGAGGAGGCTTGGATTGTTTTTGTTTTTAAATTATCGTAAAATAAAAATAACTTTGATTCCAAATCCAGATTTTGCCATGAACAATATTAGCAAAATTTATATTTTATGATGGTTGACAGGAATGGTTTTTGTGAATTGTTTAATAAGAAATTTGTTTAAAAAAAAAAAAAAAGAAATTTATCAGTATTTTTGATTGATAAACATTTTAAACAGTTTTTTTACCATAACAAATAAAACATAAAAAAAAAAACAAAATATATAAGGCAAGACTGAATTTATGTAGAATTGTAAATTAAATTTTATAAGAGAGTAATTAATAAAATACTTAAATAAATTTAGGATTAAAATCATTAAAAAATTGTTTTATTTTTATTTAAAAAAAACATCTTTAATCGTATTCATTTAAAAAATATTGACTCATTTTTTTTCGACAATAAATTAAAATATTTTCTAAATTTATCAGCAACACATAACTTTAACAAGACATTAAATAACAATCAAATATAGAAACAAAGTATTTATTTTATTTTAAAGAGAACAATTTTTTTTAAACACGAACAGTGGGGAGAAAAGTTAACCATTTTTTTAAACATTGAGCTAAAAAACATTATTAACCAAAAACAATTTATTTCACTTATTTGCAACAATAAAAGATGCATTACCCTGTCTTCAGTTTCTTTGTTAACCTTTTGATATTCCCGTTAAGGTCAGTTTTATCTCTTTTTCGTACTGTTTTCATTTTTTCAACTTTATTTCAGCAATGACCAACAGGAAAGTGAAGTTCTTGAATTATCACTGCGCATGCTCAATGAAATCAACGTTGTAACACGTCTCTGAACGCTAGCTTCCTGTCGACCATTAAAAAAAGCATAACGGTGCTCTGCCTTTTTCAACACTCAAAAGAGCACAACATGCTTTTCGTCCTCTGTTTCTTTGGCAGAGGTCAGAAAAATGCCAAATTTTATGACTCGCCATTGGCGACAATATCGCCATCGCTTTGTGCCTTGGCTAGCTATCAACTGGGCTCAAAGGTAAAGTAAGCTATAAAAATGCTAAGAAAAAAAGTCGAATGTTACGAACTGGAAATTGTTTCAGTTTAACTAAACTTTTGACTGAGTCTGTCATTGAGTGCCATTGATTGTTTTATATTTATTAAACTTTTTAGGAAAATTTATTTAATTATGTTGAAATTCCAGGAAAAAAAACGATTGTAAAGTGATTTTCTTGAACAAATGACTTAACACTAACAGCTATTTTGTTTTTGTTTTGAATGGAGTTAAAAAAACAACAACAACAAATTCTCCAAGCAAAGTTTATGCCATTTTATTTTCTTTTTCCTAAAACTGTCAACAATTAACTGGAAAACCGAAGATGCTAATTAAGTTTAAAAACTCTTCTGGGACGTTTTTTGGTCATACTGTATGACCAAAAAAAATGTCCCAGAAATCTTATGTATGACTTACGTAAGATTTAAGAATTTAAAAATGATTAATTCCCATTTGTAAACAAAAAAAGGGTGGTATTCCCGGATGCCTGCAGCATCTTCAAGAGAACGTAACAATGAGGGACGTGGACAATATTTGTCCACTTATGCCATGGGGTTCTTCTTAATCTTATTTAATTTGTCATATTTGCCTCACCAAATTTCTGATTATTCTCAAAATCGGTTAAACTAAAGGTGTGTAGTCAGTAGTGAAAGCAAGTTCATGGAAATCCGTGTCTCAGGGAGTACCTCTCCATTGCACAAAAAAAAAAAAAAATAATAATGATGGGGTGAGTCAGTTCAGATGTCCATTGAATATCACAGGATCTTTTGTACTTGTGTGAGAGGATGCATTGAAAGAAAATAATCATAAAATATTTTTTTATAAAGATAATATTTTTATAAAGATAAATACCCCATTTTTAAAAAATCTTTTTATTTTTTTATCCGGGATGGGAGGGGGCGTTATTCTACAATGTTTGCCTTATTTGGATGCACCAATTCAAAACCATGTGCAAAAAGATAAAGAAGTTAAATTTCCTAAATGTCATCCATCAGTAAAGCCCCATTCCCTCATAATTGTTCAGAGAGAGGAATAAATAAATGTACCTCTATCTGGTAATTCTTTCTACCATAACAAGTGTTGAGTGCATAGATCAAGAATAATTATGTTGTCTAACTTAAAAGCAGCTCTAAACTCGGGCTTTTTTTAGTCTTGGTTTGGAGAGAAATTCGAAAATAATTGACATGCCAAATGAAAATAAAGTAGAGTTATCTCCCATGGTACTAACTTCATTTTGGAAAATATGTGTAAAAATTATCTATTCTAGTCCTTTATTTCAAATCACGTTTTATTCTTTTTACCAGTACATATAAGGAAAAAACCATGATGAGTCAAAAGTGTTAAACAAGCTTTATTCATTTCTAATTAATTACAGTCTCATTCGAATTGAAATAATTTTGATAGTTAATGGCTTGCAATTAAAAAAAGTTAGTAAACGAAAAAAAAAAACTCATGCCGAAAATGGTGTTATATTTTTTAATTCTTTAGTAAAATTTTGTTTTATTTAAAATTCAATTAATTTTTCTAAAAAGCACTGTAAAACATTATATTTAAAAAATATCTCTTGGTGATATTTAAATCATACGAAAGTTCTTAAAGGATATTAGAATAAAAAAGGTTCATTTTTATTTTTACATTTTGAGAGTGTATGGAATTTTGTTATTGTTAATGTCAGGGAAACTATTCAATTCAGCAAAAACAAGGAATTTGATTTATTTTAAAGTTACCAAATTTTGCAAGCTTGTTGAATGTTCTGACATTTTATAACTTAAGTGTGGTGCAAGAAAATCCAAATTAACTGTAAATCCTAACTATAGTAGGTTTTTGCAAACTTTAGTAAACTGCCATTTTTGCAATAGGCAATAATAGTCATGGTGCATGAATATAGTTAGGGCTGTATTTATTTTTAAAATATTAAATGTTTAAAAATAGAATTATATGTTGTATTAAATGTAGAAAGTTTGAAATGCTCAGGACATATAATTCAAGTTGAGAAAAACTTTTTGGTGGCATGTTGCTATATTCTAAATCAAGTAAAAAAAAAAAATATTCACAATTTCTTAATAATGGGGTTTACAAATAAAAACATTTTATTTACTTAGATTTGCTTCTGATTAGACAAATTTCTTTTTTTTTCAAAATCTTTTCAACCCAAGCAAGGTAATAATGTCACTAAGAAGACACAAAGACTTACTGGGATTCAAAGAGAATGATAGGAGAAAGAACAATAAAAGAACAAGAGTCAGGAAGACAAGATGACAATTGGCAAGGCATTTAAATTTTTGAAGATTATAGATGGCAAGGAAAAAAGAAATTAGAAGAGAGTTCCACAAGTGAGAAAAGAAATTATTAAAATAGAACACATGGTTGCATCTAGCTAGTTTGGCAGTAAAACAGTGATACCTAGTAGCACACTTAAATTCATGCAGTCAAGGTGCCAAGGAGGAAAGCTCATCCAAATAATTGCCATGAATTTATAGAAAAGACAGAAGGAACTTATGTCATGTTGGTAAGAAAGTGACTGCAGTTGAGATGCCAGGTCAGGACTAATAACATTACAGACCTTTCTTTGGATTTTGTTGAAACTCTTGAGATGTACAGCAGAAGCACCAGACTAGACCAGGCAGCAATGTTCAATACACAGATGAATGGTAGATTTATAAATGTGCAAGATGATGAGAAAAACTGTCTGGTATAACACAGTGAACCAACTTCTAGCAGTAAAACTAGCAATTGATTTAATATAATCACTTCATTTCATGTCTGGAAAATGAGTTCAAGTAAGTGCAAAGAGTTACTTTCCTGAGTTTAGCATCAGCCATGCTGATGAAAGGCAGCAAAGGTTCTCTGTGGTGATTAAATGACAGCAATTTTGATTTGGAGGTATTAAAAATTTACAATCCATTCCTTGCCCCAGTTAACTACTGATTGAAGGTTATTTTCAAGAGCAGCTCGCCTAATTTCATTTCAGCTGTTGAATCCCAATCATTTTTTTTTTACACAACAACTTTGATTTTTTCTACTTCTGTTTTTTCTATGGTTCCCACTTTCATTTTTTTATATAATTTAGTTTTTGGGCTTTTTTATGATTTTTAAAAATTTTATATTTAGATATTACTAAAGTAAAATTTTCATTTCCTGATTTAGTAAACTTTTATTTATTTATTTAATTACAGTTTAAAAGAAGTTTAGGTTAGAATTCATTTTAATGTACTACAATTTTAATTACAACTTCAAAATATTTTCATTAGTAGTTTTATAGACTATATTTCATTTAATAGAAGTAAATAGAGTTAGTTACAGTCAGTAAAATTATTTTTCTATATCAAGTATATTTATATTACGATTTTTTTTTAAATTTTATATTTAAATATTTTTAAATAAAATTTTTTTTTTTTACAGCAAAAATAGCTAATTCATTTCTCTGATTTAGTAAACTTTATTTATTTATTTAATTCCAATTTCAAAGAAGTTTAGGTTAGAATTCATTTTAATTAACTACAATTTTAATTACAACTTTAAAATATTTTTATTATTAGTTTTTATAGACTATAAATGTATTAGTGTTACCTACAGTCAGTTTAGGTTAGAATTCATTTTAATTAAATATATATATATATATAAAAAGTTGAAGTTTAGTGTTAGCTTTAGGCCGTGAGAAAACACCCATCCATTGTGATATGTGAAAGTTCAGGGTCTGCTCAGTAATGGTGGAACATTACTAGTTTGATTTTCGATGTATTGAACATTAAAAGCCAGTCCTTTCCCAAATAGGATACCAGGGCTAGGTCAGAGGAGAGATCAGCTATCAGGTCAAAGGTCATCTAGATTTTTTTAAGCAGTGCACCTATAAACTATTGTATCATCTGCATATATATTTATTAAAGATTGAATATGTTCTTATGCAGCTCATTAATATACAGCTGAAAATGGAGAGGACTGAAAAAAGAACCTTGAGGAATGCCAGTATTGCTTTCATGGGTTTCCTATGACCGTCCGTTAACAACAACCTTCATGGACCTACATATTAGGAAAAAAACTTGATAATTGAGAAAGTCCTTCCAGAGATTTCATAGCTTTTGGGAGTTTATGTATCAGCCCCTAATGCCACACCTTGTCAAAGTTCTGTCTAGTGCAATAGTCCTGATGATGAATTTATTGTCTAGTGCCTCACTGATTCTGTGAGTAATGAGAGTTAAGACATTAGATCTAGTAGGGTGAAATCCATACTAGTTATGAAGTTGTTCCTATTGAGGTGGTCAACAAATTTCTTGTTGATTATAGATTTGAAGAGTTTGCTGATGACACTAACAAAGCTAATGGGTTGATATTGCAATGGGCATGAGCACTCACCTGCATACCTAAAAACAGGGCACACAGTTGAAACCTTCCATAGACTTGGGAAGTATCTCCCTTTAGGCAGCAAGTTAAACAGTTTTGCCAGGATTGAAGATAACTCTGTGCTGATATTCTTAAGAACAAACACTGGGATTTTATTTGGACTGGTGGCTTTCTTAGAGTTGAGGCTTTTGATAAGTCTGGGAACTTTCTGTGCTGTGATAGAGATATGACATAGTTTGTGTGTTCTGTGAGAGGTGGGAAGTCAGGTAAGGGATGGTCCTTATCATCTAACATAGAATTAGAGGCAGAGAGCCTTGGCTTGCTATTTATGAAAGCTGACCTAACACTGATGCTTTGCTTCTATTGAGAATTGAGATTTTCTAGAACTTGCAGGAACCAAATCTTTTGTTTTCAGCCTTGGCTTGACTGACTGACTGAATAGTTGCTCTTTGCATTTTCTACAAGTTTCTTGCAATGATTGCAGGCAGTTTGAATGCCACAAGAGTCTCACTACACCGTCTGTGTGGCAGAAATGGTAGTTGTGGTTACAATGGGTTCTGGTTGTAGTACATTCTGACAGAAACCCAGGCTGGCTATTTGGATTCAGTTGCTATTTTTGCTTTGGAATAAAATTATCCATGTCTCAGAGAATCCAACTGATTAAAGATAAAATTAGAAGCAAATTTTCACAGTTAGGATTAAAACCTGATTTAAAACCGTTATACAATTGTAATATCTTCCTTGTATCTCATCTTTAACACAATACAAATATTTATTACTGCGGATAATTATGAAATATTACAAAAATATTTCAAAACCAATGAACATGGAGGCACGGAGGAGTAAATGTTAGTGGCTCAGGTCAGGGAATCGGAGAGCCAAGTTCAAATTTATTACATTCATTTACGTGCTAATACCCTTGGGAAAGGTATGAATCCAACTCTTCTCTCCCAGCTATGGGTAAATAGCAGGACAAATTGGGTCTTATAGCCTTGATTGGCAGCTAATCTAGGGAAGGAAATCTCTGAATTCAAGTCAGCCTGGAGAGGGTTTGGTCTCTCTCAGGCTATCTTGCCCAAGACACACCACTTCTACTGCAGCTGCAGTACATGTGGTGCCCCTATGACCCTAATGTGTTACGGGACTTGTGAACACGCCTCATGTTACCACAACAATGGAATATCTCATTAATAAATAATGAAAACAGGTTGCTAATACATTGCTTTTATTTGATATTCTTAATCATTTAAGAGACAAGTCTTTTTTAGTTGTCACAATGGAGTTAATTGTATGAATAAAAAATCCTTCACATGCAGAAAATATAATAAATGAAATTGAAAATTACTTAAATATAGCTGTCATTTTTTGACATTACTGATAAACTAATTAAATATATTTACCAAGAAAGCAAACATATGAAAAGTGAAATGAGTTTTCTTAAGTTGTACTTCTTAAATAGAAATCTAATCTCATCATTCCTAGCTGATTATTTCAGACAATAAGTTTATTTAGTGTGACTGGTTACCTCCTTGAATTAGAAATTTATTTAAATTCTAACTTCAGATTTCCTCAACATTCAAATAACCATCAATGAATATAAAATTCAATGAGATCCAGTCAAAATGTTATAATGCAAAATTCTATATCATAGCATTGTACAAAGTTGGCCTAGATTGCCAGTCTTTGTACTGTTTTTCTATCTTTTGCTTACTTTCACTTCAGTATACTTTTAAAAACATGCCATGTCTTGTCTATTTGTGATTGATCATGAATCTCCAAAATTTCCTTTTCTTTATTATCTGCGAATTGCCATGACTTCTTTGGAAAGATATGGGAGTAGTGAGTCAGCCGTTCACTTTTGAACAGACTGATCGGTTCAACTCTCTGTCTTCGGACAGAGAGGAACCCGAAGGAGGCTATGCCGAAGGGCGGAGTCTCCTTCGGGGAGGTAAAACCGGCCTTGAACCCGTTAATGCGGGTTCAAATGGGCATATTTTGGGGCCGAGACCACGGGCTCGGGAAACCCACAATAAACAACCAACCTTGTGTCACATGTTGCCCCAGTGGGGGGGAGACTCAATATCGTTTCCCATTCCCTTCTCCACATTTTTGAATTCAGTTTTCTTTTGCTTAGATTGGTTGCCACCCACTATTTATTTCATTGCTGGTGGAAGAGATGGATTAACAACAGCATTAGTTCAAAAGTGGATGCCATAGATTTGCCCAGAATTTGAACTTGGTATACTCATGCAACCCTATATAGTTTTAATTTCATAAATTTTTTAAAACTATTTTTGTAATTCATGATGATGATCAGTCATATGGCTGGGTGTGGTCGTAGGATTACCCACAACTAAACAGATACTACCATTTCTGAGTCGATAGCCAGGTAGGTATTCATCCATGTGTAGTGTGTTGTGAGTGAGTAGCCCTGTTAGGGCCCATCCTTCTTCAGGTCAAACCACAGCTGATGTCTTCCAGCTTAAAAGGCTTGTTTTGATCACAAACAAATGAATATTGGTTCCACTGAGGGAAACCAATGTTCTGGCCCCTTGACTTCAGTTTAGGAAGCCTTCTACTCAGCAATGCCATGTGATCACCACCCTGCCTGCAAAGAAGTTCAAGTTATCCCATTGTGCTTGATGCTACAAGAAGGTTTATCCACTGTTTGACAGATGTTTTTAATCCTGATGGGTGTCTAGCCACTATCCTTACTGGGAAAACTTGGTGAGGGAACCAGTTTAGTGATACTTGTTGAGTACATAAATAAGCTAACTTTTGTAATTATCCTGTATATTAACTGATGTATAATACTGTAAACAATAAAGATGAAGATACTAGTCAGAAAAATATGTGGAATAATAAAAAAAATCCATTTTCTAAAAAGAATCAGAGCTTAAAATCAATAAATAAAATTACAGCTATGACCACAAAAATGAATCACTCTAATTTCCTCCATGTTACAACATTGACAGCTTTTTCCCAAGAACTGCTATTTGGAGGAGCAGTCTCCTGCATATATGCTTTCCTAAACACTACAATTTTTAACCTTTTCAAGTCAAGGGTCAATTGTTATCTATTATCTTTATTCTCATGATCTTCATTTCCTACCAACTCATATCACACACCTCATTCAGTAGCTCTTTGCCTCGAGTGGCTCTCGAGCCTTGTATTAGGCGAACTTTAGTAAAACAAAAAAAAGAAACTCCTACAAATGAATGTAAATTTTCTGCTTTCAGAACTAAAAGATATGCTGACAGTGAAGAGTCTGATATTGTCATTGATACCAAGGCTATCCACCAAAGTTTGCTTCATTTATGGAAATCCTACACAAATCTCAATTCACTACACCCCCTCATGAAGCCTCAACAAATAGCAGAGATGAGTTTTCCATGGATACTTTCATCTCAGATCAGCAATGCTATTTACAGAATCTACAATATGTACATCAACATCTGGGATTCTCTGTTGAACGCAAAGTCAGTCAGTTGGTTGGAGGGGGCACAGGTGTGCTTGTAACAAAAGGAACTGTCCCCAAACATACCCTGATTGGACTTTACCCAGGTGAGAGGAAGCTTAAAAAATAGCATTTATATTTTTATTACACATATTATTATTAATGTATCAAAAGTATTTCCATTTTTACAGACCCTTACTCCAAAGTTTATTTCATGTACACATCTAAAGACTTTGACTTCAGTATATTAACCTATAAATGCCTCCTGTTCTATTTTTGGAACAGTAGGCTTTAATGAGCTAATACCATTGGGATATATATGAATCCATTTCTTCTCCTCCCAACTATGGGTTAAATAAGGGAAAGGAAGCCCTGCAACAGAAAAAAAAAAATCAACCTTTCTTCAGAGTACAAAGGTCGGGCAGGAGACCAATCATTCAACCCAGAAAAAAAAAATTTGATTACAAAAACCTTGCTAAATGTCATGAGGTAGATAATAAAAGCTTAGTCTGATACAAGGCCACAATATTCAGGCATCCAGTAAAGTGTAAACCCATAAGTTATTGGTGTGAATGGATTTTCTTATTGGTTGGGTATCTGCCAACAAAGATGGATGAAAATCTTGACAGCACCAGAATCAAACATTGGATCACAACAAGCAGGGTATGGCCAAGACTTCCATACGGTAACACCACATGTACGGTACAGATGTAGTTAAGACACCGGAAACACAAATAAGGATGAATGAATTCTAAACGATGCTGGGTAACATGAACAGAAATCCTTAGTTATGCACAGCAATAGCATTGTGCAGTGAACATGACACACTGTCAGACTCTCTTCCCAGAAAATGTGCCTGCTTTTATGGAACTTAAAACTTTAGTAGTTGGCTACTAAAGGAATCATTTGTATAACTAACACCGCTCAACTCAACATCCTGACTATCTCATGGGGGAAGCTGGTAGACACTTTCTTTCTTCATAACTAGATGTTCCTGGGTTCACATTGGCTCTGTTCTGGCAGGAGAGCCATGTACTGTCTATCTGCAGAGACAGCACACGAAACATTGACTCTTTGACTAACAGGGCAGGTATTGTTATCAGTGGTGATTGGCTGCTTTGTCTAGATTTCATTTCTGCTACAGTGTGGGTATTTACAAAACTTATCTTAGTCTAATACAAAGCCACACCTTCTGTTTCATGCAGAATTGGATTCCATATCAATGATTTGGGAAAATGATATGTTAGCTGTTTCACCTATTCAGATGCCTAAAAAGGTCATTTGATACTTTCAATGATTATCTGACCACATTATAGTATTGTTTGTATGTGTTGTGAACGTGGGGCAGATAAAATTCTTTCCGTTGGAGAATTCTTCAACCTTTTTTTTTTATCAAGGAAACTGTCATCTCTTGTAGACTCAAAGGACCACAGTATCATTGGAAGAAATGTGTTGATCTCAAAAGAAAATTACATCAAAATATAATCATCCCTTATTTCTTGAACACTAATCTATGTTTAGCTGCCCTCATATACAAATAATGAGAAATGGAAGATATGGGATCACTATGTATCCCTGTTGTCCTTGTCCCCATGAATTTCAGTTTTCTTTTGTCTTCCATCTATTTTTTCTCCAAAATCTTACACATCCCACCCATAGATTTTTATAAAATGTACCTGTACATACCAAGCAAATAAGAATCCATACCCAATATACAGAGTGAAATTAAAAATCACTGGACAGTAAATCTGTCTTATATATATATATATATATATATATATATATATATATAAGACAGATTTACTGTCCAGCGACAGTTTCAAAAAGAATACGCCAAAATCATTACGGTTTTTTCAGGTCTATAGCATTGTAGTGGACTGAATCAGTGGTTATTTGATAGAGTAGTTATCAAAGTTTGATTGGGTGTCAGTTTCACCGCTGTTGTTATTATAACTTGGTGCAGCTACAAACAGGTCAACCCTATCTCGACATGCTCCAGAACTGGCTATTCACTTTACTGCAAGCAGATTCGAATGACTTCATTTTTCAGCAAGATGGAGCACCACCTCATTGGCATCTCGGGGTTTAGAGCTTATCTGAATGAAAATGTGCCTCAGTGATGGATTAGGAGGAGAGGTGCTAAAGACCTTGCTCTCTGTGCTTGGCCTGCCAGATCTCCGGGATCTCACTGTGTGTGCCTTTTTCTTGTGGGGGATATGTTAAAGACCAAGTTTATGTTCCAGCACTTACAGCAAGTATCGATAACTTGAAAAATCGAAAAACAACTGCAATCAACACAGTGGACTGTAACATGCTGAGGCACGTTTGGGAGGAATTCTCATATCAGCTTGATGTTGTCCGCGCTGCCGGTGGTGGCCACATTGAGCACTTATAAAACATGAAATGAAACTTGAATGTATATATAACACATGTATTCATGCTAGAGGTTTGTAATTTTTTTCGTTTTTGACACATCACGTGATGATTTTGGCGTATTCTTTTTGAAACACCCTGTATATTATGAATTATGCACTCAAACATAAGTAAATGTGTGTAAATTAAAAATATATAAATATGTTTTCTGTACATAAAATAAAAAGTTGTACTTTTATTTATCATGCTTTTCATTTTGAATTTTTGTTTCTTTTTTACATTTTGCAGGAACTATTTACCTCCTTCATGAACCACTATTCTTTCAAAGCATAAGAAACCAATTTATTTTCCGTTGTGCAGATGGAACTCACATTGATGGCAATGACAGAGGAATATCAAAGTTCATTTTCAAGTAAGTTCTTATTATCTGTGCTGCAAAGAATATGTTTGTTGTTTTTCAAAGCTTAAAGGATTTTTGTCACGAGTAAACATGACATTTACTTGAACTTCTGCTGCTACACATGGCTAGAATCCTCATCTTTATTGTTTTTATCTCAGTTTAAAACCTTTTAATGTCTTCACAATGTATAACAAAAGTGGGGTCAAATATTTTTTTGACTAAAAGCAAGTTCTTGATTTGGAGGGAATTGTTTTGATGTATTGAGTTCTTGGCAACTTATGGGAACATGAACCTTTCATTCTGATAGAAGTCAGGTTTATGCCCATATCACATTGAAACACTGGGTCTCATACTATCACCAAAGTTAAGTAACATTGAGCCTGGTTAGTACTTGGAAATACCAGGTGCTGTAAGCTTAAATGTGTGAGTGGCATAATGGATAATGCCTCGGAATTGATAAATGGAGAGTTGAGTTCTAATTCCAGTTGTGTTTGTTATATTCACTTACATGGAAATACCATTGAGAAAGGTAGGAATCCACCTCTTCTCTCCTCAGCTATGGGTTAATTAGTAGAACTTGTATTAGTAAATCATTATTATCTCAAAAAACGTCTTACAATCTAAAAAATATTTTCTGGCTTTAAATAAGCCAGAAAATATTTTTCATGACTGGAATTATAAATTGTAATTTATTTGTCATAGAATAAAGTTGATAAATTGTTGTAACCTAGAAAAGGTTACTGAATGAGGAATAACCAAAACAGAGGTTGGAAATGAAATGGTAATCTTTATAACATCAATAAAATACAATACTCGCCAGCGCCGTGAAGTAGGTAAACCATTGCTTAGACAGTATATTCCCCCGCCACAATAGTGTTCAATGTATTTATGAGGATTGGGACATACCCATTAGTGTTCATAGGTATGGTATATAACATAAACAAAAACAGTAACTATTTATGACCCAGGACACTAGTTGTGTCAGTAAAGCAGAATTTACCAACATCAGATTGATTGGGTAGAAATTTCATCAATTTAAAGTTTTCTTTTTCTTAATAATCAACAAAATAGAGGTCCAAAAATAAATTTCTGTCGATCCTAGAAAGAAATATCTTTATTTGTCAGCTCAACTTGTGTCCAACATTCAAAACCTTGAAAGACTTACTTGATGAAACTTTACACTCAGATTTATTGCCCTGGTTTATCTGAATACAAATTTCTTTTATTTAAACTAAAAACAAATTTAATTAAATCATGAATGATAACTTTTTCCTATTGTCATTCTTGAACTGCTTTTTGTTCATTCCTCTTCGACAGGCTGAAAAATTTTATCTTCTCTTTAAGATCCTGTGTCCATCGTGACCGAGTATTTCCATATTGGACAGCTGATGGAACCTGGCTGTCCTCTTGGCCATTAAACCCTTTAGCTATTGGACAGTATGTCAATAACCAATCACCAGGTAAAAATCTCTTAAAAGCTTTGATGTCTTTCTGAACCAAGTAAATAGTCTTTCTATTGTTTCTTTGTTAAACAGAATTTGAATAAAGAAGATTGCATTTTTATGTGTTTCTAGATTGTGTAGAAAGCAAGATGAATTGATAGATTCAGATTAAATTTTACACACTCCTGCTTTTTCACAACTAGTGTGTAATAATCATGTTGAGATTTTGCTAAATTATTAGTGAAAGAAAAAATTTTGTTGAATGATTAACAATACATTGTAGTTATCTGCCCTTTAAGTTTTGCAATCGCCATTTTTTTTAAAGAACTTACTTTCAACACTGAAGAAAGTGATAGGTTTATTAGAATCATGCTAATTTTTTTCAGTAGTAAATTAACATCTATTTGTATATACAATAAGGAATGTGTTAAATTATTTTAAATCTATAATTAAGCAATAAAATTGATTTTGAACCATTTAAAAATTATCCATGTAGACAAATATTTTTTTTAAAATCATTTTATTCCAAACAAGGCAATAAAGCCACTAAGACACAAGAGGTTACTCAGTATAAGAGAAAAAAAAAACTAAGGAGAGAGAACAATAAAAGAACAGGAATTAAGAAAACAGAAGATAACGATTGACATTGCATTTAAATTTTTGAATATCAAAGTTGTCTGCTATAAAGACTATGTCATCTGTATGTCTTAAGATTGTATCCACTAATAATAAAGTAGGAGTTCTAATTCCTTCAGAATTGCTTCCCTGTAAAGTTGAATAAGTTTGGTGAGTTGATACATTCTTGTCTTACACCCCTTTCTATTTTTGTGGATTTACTGAATTCATTTCCAATCCATATGTAGATGGTTTTCTTCTGGATAATTCTAATATTCTCAAATCAGTAATATTTTATAAGACCAGTCAATTTTCTTTTTGATGGTTTTTGCATAGGCTTATAATGGTTGGAAGGTTATCAGTTATCGAGGATTTGTGGAGGTTATCTTCTGACAACATCTGTTCCCACCATATATCAGTAATAATTGATTTGAGTGTGTATTGGCCCTGTGTAATGAGTAAAAGATAATGTACAAAGTGTTGAAAAATACAAAATAAATCTTTATATAATACAATATAATAATACAGAAGGGTGAGGTTAATATTGAAGTTTCAAGAGTTCAAAGTTCTGAGGGCATACAAGAGATAGATTCTGGGAGGAAGTAAATATATAGATTCTTGCATTGTGAGCAGACGCACGAGTATTCTATTGACACATTACTGATGAGTCCTTTCATGAGAGTAGAGTCCAATTCTAGAGCTACAAGCCCTATTGCAGATGCTGCATTGATAAAGTGGGTTCTGAGTGCTACTGTTGGTCTTCATCTTGGAATGTTTCTCAATAAGGAGACTGGTACGCCTGCTCTCAAAGACATTGATGCCCTCTTTGTAAGTTCTCCTCCAGGTTGCACAGGTTTACGTAGTACTTTCCCAGTTATCAAGGCCGATGTCATCTCTTGAGATTGTATTTAACAGTGTCCTTGTACCTCAGTTTTGGTCTGCCTAGTTGTCTGTAGCCATGCTCTAATTCATTAAGAAGATTGCTTTGGGAATTCTTGAGTCTTCCATCCAATATATGTGCCTCAATGAAGCTGTGCCTTGATTATCTGGCTTTCTATGCTGGGTACAACACATCATTATAGGACCTTGATATTAGAGACTTTATCCTGCCATTTAATTCTGCAGATGGATCGCAGATAGAGTTGCTGGGACTGCTCAAGAAACTTATTATGACGATGATAGACTGTCCATATTTCACAATCATAAAAAAGCATTTTGAGGGGCACCGCAGCATGATGTAGCGGTTAGCAAGTTTGTCTTGCTAAAACAGTTATGACTGAATTGTGAGTTTGATCCTCACTGGGTACCCCATACTTTTGGCCTTGTGCCACATCTAAGCTACACTTAGAAAATCAATATTGTAGCACCTTGAACTGGTGTAATGCTTAGCAAACTTGTCTTGCTAAAACAATTATGAATGAGTAGTGAGTTTGATCCTCACTAGGTGCTCCTTACTTTCAGCCTTGTGCCACATCCAAGATACACTTGGAAAATCACTTTGGGCACCTCAGTGTGGTGTAATGGTTAGCAAGCATGTCTCACTAAAACAGTTACAAACAGAAGATTGAGTTCAATTCTCACTGAATACTCCATACTTTTTGCCTTGTGCCACATCTAAGCTATTCTTAGAAAATCAGTACAAAAGCATGAGAACCACTGCCTTGTATACATTGATTTTGGTCCTTAGCATCAAAACCATGTTCATCCCATAGCCTATGTCTAAGCATTCCAAAGGAACTGCTTGCTCTTGCAATCTGTTGTGTAACCTTGTCATCTATAGTCACTGAGTTTGACAAAATATTTCCTAGATAACAGAAATTTAGAGGAATGGTGTTGATATAGACATTGGTATAGTTTTTTGGAGCTGGTTGATACATGACTCTAGTCTTCTTTATGTTGGAAGTAAATATATATGTATGTATATATCCAAATGTAGTAGCTGCCAGGACTGAGGCAACTCAGCACTAGAAAAATGTAACTTTTTTTTATAATCGAATAAAAGTAATTTATTAAGAATTAAAATGCTTAATCAGTGAATATTTTTCTTCAAATTTCTTAGGCTTACTTTATTAAAAATAATTAAAAAATATTCACTAATTAAGGTTTTAATTCTTAATAAATTACTTTTATTCAGTTATAAAAAAAATGTTTTTCTTGTGCCGAGTCGTCTCAGTCTTGAGTTGTCCTTGCACTCAGTTGTTGGTGTTAAGTCATCTCTTCCAAGTAGCTGCCTGCTTAACAATGTGGGTGAAGAAAGGTATATGTTTTCAATTGTATCAGCAGACTGCTTAAAAAGGTGGAGAAAGAAAGGGTTGATTTATAGAGCAGGAAAATAGTATTTTTTTTTTTATCTTTATCTAATATCTTATCATTATTTGGGAGGGATTTCTGCTATACCCTCTATTTTTTAATCTATATAGTGCCTATAAGGACAATATTGGAAAGTCTTTTTTATCGGTTTATATTTTTGTGGCTCTACAGAGTATCCTGCCAATGTCACTTACCAAGAATTTGACATTCCTGAAGAATTTCCGCTTCATTTGCGAAGATATCTTCCATATGTCAAATATGGAGGCCCAGTCGATCACTTTCAATTATCCAAAAGGTAAGAAACTTTTTGTTTGAAATATCGCATGAATAAATCAAAGAAAGTAACTTTCAATATTTACGTTTTCTTGTTCGTATTTTCTTAAATTCTAATCTGGGTACCGCCATAGATTCGTGATACCTAATGTTTAAAATAAATTTTAAAAAAATGAAAAATCTTTCTTAAAGCTTTTATTTTAGTTCTAATTTCAAACTAATAGATTAAATTTAATGTTTCCAATAAGCAAACTACTTTGCTTGTATTTCAAAATTAAATTGACTGGAATGAGTTTTTGTTTTGAAATTACTTAAAATTGCTCATTTTAGCACCATCTGTCATCAGAATATAATTCTCTTTATTAAAAAATCTTTCAAAAATAAAATATAGTTTACTGAAACTTTATTTGAGGAATATTAGCTGATTTAAAGTTTAATTAATTTGAATTGAAACAAATATTACTTACTTTAAGTTTAAAATATTGCAGAAATGCATTTTTTAACATGGCAGTAGCTGTTTATTTAAGGTTGACAGCTTAAATGACAGCAGTTTATCTAATGTTTTTCTATGGTGTAAAAAATAAATGAGGAGTATAATGTAAGCAAATTTCTTATATAATTTTTAAGTAAACAGTAATCTTAAAAATTTAGGAAAATATTTTCCATAGTCTAATGTTTTATTGAGTTTTAGATACTTTGGCTTTAAATTTACTATAGTTATCGCTCTTATTTTCTGATATTGTGAATGGATGCCTGTATCTACAAAAATTGGCATGTTTATAGACATACAAAACATTCAAAATTCTTTTTAAAATATTGGTGTTTGATGAATTGTACTAAGCTTTTCCATTTATGATTAGTAAATATAGTTTTTACTTAATAACAATATCTCCTTAGAGGCACAAAGTAATATAGAAATTGAAGATTTAAAAGTTAATAAATTATTCTTGTTAAAAAATAAAAACAATTCTTGTAAAAAAATTTTTTTCTTAAGACAATAGTGTCCATAATATATCTTATAAAAGCAATTAAAAACTTTTCTAATTAAATAATATCTTAATTTTATTGCATTTTGTATTTTACAATTCAGAAATCCTTATGTTTCAGACAATGCATTCTACTTTCCTTGTGTATAATTAAACTAAGGTGGGAGGGGATTCTAACAAGGAGGAACATATATGTCAATCTGAATCAATCATTGGAAGTTGCTCATGATAGAAAAAAAAATATCTCATCTGTCTCAGTGTTGTGACCTTGTCTTTATTTTCATTGTGTTGCCTTATTTAGGAACATTAAATATGTTCTGCTAAAATTTGAAATCATGTTTTATGATACCAAATCTATTCAGCATTTTATTTTTCTTATTTGTTGAATTCTTTTATTATGTACCATGTCCCTTCAGAATGTGAGTGATTATGGCTCTCTACATCTGTTTCATTCATTGCTCTTAGTAAGGTTTGTCTTTTCACTGTTTCCCAATTCCTGTTCAGCCATCAAACTTGTTAGGTTGATTATTCACTAATTTCCTCTTGCCTTCAATATGTCCTCTGAGGGTTAAATTCTCCAAGCCTCTTTCCTCATTATGCATCATAGAAATGTCAACTGTTTTGTTTTCTTTAAAACTTCCTTGTTGTTCACGTGTTCAATACATGGTATTCTTAGCATCTTTCTGTAGAACCACATTTCTGTTGCTTCAAGTCTCTTTATCTGTGAGATTGTCCAGCATTCACTGCCAAATAGGAGGACTGGTATTATGCAACAGTTCAGCATTTGTTGAATTAAGATATTCTTATACAATGATTTATTCAGATTGGTGTCTATATTTTGGTTGTTATAGTTACAACTTTTCAGCTGTTATACTTTATATAGCCTTTTTCAAGTGACTGCCATAACAATAACATTGTGAATTTCAAACCTAGATTTAGATGGCTTAATTTCACTGTTTATGCTTGGAGATATCATCAATGAAATATCATATGAAAACCTTTGATTAGAAAAAAACTGACTTAAGGTTCCAAAATTCTTTTAAGCTTTGTTTGACCTTTGGGACAATCAGGCTTAGTGGAGATAAGTATTGGTTAAATGGTTACCTGTTGGTCATGAATTCAGGCCACAAAACTACTCCAGTTAGCAGAACAGCCTACTCCTGTTGATTAAATAAAGGGTTCAGTTTAATATCTTGAGAATGTTGCTGACTAGAACAGATACCTGAATAAGACTAGAATATAACAATAAAACAATAAAGATAAGACTTCAACTATTGTGTCCTTGTGTCAGCCTAGACTAATCATGTGAAAATTATACTGTAAAATCAGGCTTTTATTTTTACTATGTGAATAATAAATAAATTTTTGAAAGCATATAGAAATTTGTGACTTTAAATTTCATCTAAAATTATTGAATTTAAAGATCATATTTTCAGGTTTCCACATTACAAGAAGTTATTTCATTAATGAACAGAAAACTTGAAAGTGCTTTTTTTTAATTGTGTATTAGGGATACAAAAAAAAAGGAATGATTACAGAAGAATAGAACATAGAAATGAGTAAGCAATAATTTATTAAAAGGGATAAACAAGTATCAATGATTATAGAGGATACTTTCAAAGCTGAACATGAGAGGAATGTCAATTAATGGCTTTAGTAAATTAGAAGTTAATAACTATATACTAGCTTCTATATATTGGAGATAAGGAAAAAAAAAAGTTAAGAGAAATCATGAAGGATTGTGTTCTGATGAGATTTCTAAAATATATATGGCAGTTGCTTGAAATGGTGCCAAGAATGAAGAAGAAATGACAAACATGGAAACAGCATTGAATACAAAGAAATAAAAAAATGTGTTTATTTTCCATATGGAAAGGAAGATAGTAGCATATACCTAGTCATGCAGAGGACACCTAAAAAGTGCAATATCTTCTTATCGCAGCCCAGGACAAATGTTTCATGACCAATTATGGCAAAATTAAGAGACATCAAATACCATCATTTCAAATGAAAAAAGTGTTAGAGAGTAAACAATGTCATAATTGAATGTTTCATAAACATCCCCAAAACAGACATGCTGGAGTAGAAACACTAATGCAATGGGAATTGTGCACATACTTTAGGTTTAAGTATTCTAAGCACAGAGTAGAAGCTATCCAAGAAAATCCACTGGACAACATTGGCACTTTGAATTTAGATGGTCAGGCTGATGTGTGTTGTGGTGGAATGGGTAATGGCTCAGAATGGGAAATTGGAGAGCCAAGATCAAATTCCATTTGCAATCCCTACATTCATTGACACAAATACTCTTGGGAAAGGTATGAATCCATCTCTTCTCCCCCAGCTATGGGTTGAATATCAGGACAGACTGGGTCTCTATAGCCTTGGTTGGCAACCAGCCTGCTGCAGAAAGAAATCTTCTGCCATCAGTCATGAATCGAAAGAGACATGATTGGCCAAGTGTGTATAATGTAATGGCACTTAACTGACTGCATCTACATTTCAATTAAGGAGCCTGGAACTGATTGTCAGCTACAAGGTAGAAGGAAACTTATCATTGTAAATATGGCTGTGTCCAAAGACATAGGATGAAAATGAATAATTGAAAAAAAAAAAAAAAAAAAAAAATTATCTCCCCCAAAACACAAAAGAATAGATTCAAAGAAAGGTTAATGATACTGAGGAAGGTATTGCTTATTTGAAGGGATTTCCTGCTCACTCAATTTCTAGTAATAACCACCATACATTTGCAAGAAATAAGGTAATTATTCTTAATTTTACTCCATTAGATATAAATATTTCATTCTACTTTGTTAGGAATAGCATCATATTTACAAGTTTCATTCATTTGGGTTCATATTGAATTAATTCAAAAATGATTACAAAATTTGAAGCATTTTCATACAATACAGAACATTGAAGTTCAAAGAAAGAATTCTGCTGGCACGTACATTTGTGTTGGACTAGATATGCAAAAAAAACAAAAAAAAAAACAATAAGTGAAAGAATATTGAAAATTGTGTGCAAATGTATTTGGAATGTCAAATGTTTGATGACATTGAAAGGCCACTGAAATTTGTATCATACTCTGTATCGGAACGAATAGACAGGCAATTTAAGGAAAATAACTGATCATACACTCGCTGGTAGTTGCCATTAAGTGTTAAACCTTCTGCCCTAATAAGATTGTGAATGCAGTTAATTTGAAACAAGGAAAAAAAATGTAACACATTCTAAGTTTTCCAAATTTATTATAAAACAATCAAATCCTTTAAAAATCTCCCATTGGAAAAAAGTCTTGACAATACAAATTTTGGACTTCAATTTGTGATTGGCTCTAAATTGACAAAGCAGAATTTGGAAAATAGTTTCAATCAACAAATTAATGCTTGGGCAACTTATTAAACTTTTTTTTTTAATAAAAAAAAAAATTAATTTTGAATTAATCAAATATTGAAATTTTTGAATTTTAATGAAAAATATTTTTGTACTCAAAATGCATAGCACATATGTGGCTTGGATCAGAATAATTTTGAAAAAAAAAAAAAAAGAAGATGCAAAACATTGATGAATAAATCTCAAAGAATGATATTCAAAAAGAAAAATAATCCCTTAAAAATTTCACACACCTGAAAGCATAAAAGAACCAACTTTAAAAAAAAAATTTTTTTTTTTTTGTAGGGAGGGGAGTATTTTTTATCTTATTGAGCAATCATCAAGTAGTTTTATTATGCCACTTTTTTTTGGGGGGGGAGCACTTACTGACAAAACTTTTTGGGCTGATATATTCTTCAGCCTTCACCTTGTGGAAATAAATTAAAACCCTGGGATATTCCAAGAATGTTGAATATTTTAGTCAAAAAGTATTGATTTAAAAAATAAATAAAAGAAAATCCTCTTCATTCATCATAGATTTTTCAAACATACACTGGTTTCATATACTCAAAGGCCTAATAAAATAGTCACAAGATTTTTGTTTGTAAGCAGTCATAACTCAAATTCATTAAAGAATGAAATATTTATTTACATGTGGCCTATTTTTTTCATCTTTGTTGTTGTGCTCTCTGGCATTCATCAGGTGTATGTCGATCCTGGTAACCTGCATAGAATTTCAAACTGAACCCTTTATTTAAACTACAAATGTAGATTGTTCTCATTCCACTGTCCATGACTAGGGAGTGACATACTCCTAATTATGGGCAAGGCACAACAGTTGAAACAATGTGATAACAAAAACAAAGATGACAATAGTTTACATGTAAATAATAACTTCTCATTCTAGAAATTCAGAGTGAATTGTTTTTGAATTTCAAAAAAAGAAAAAATCTCAAACTTCATTTCATGATGTTGCATGCCATGTTCAGCCTTCTTGATAGTTTAAAAAGCTGCCATAGTAATTTTTACTATAAATTATTAACAGTTAACCATATCTGTATAAATAAGATTTCTGCAACATACAAAAGTAACACAGATGTAAAGGATTTGATCCACTCAATTTATGACAATGAGCATCACTGTCCTGACACTTGAAACTTTAAACCAACTGAGCATTATATTCATAAACATCTGTGAATCAAAAAATGGGCACACACATGGCTGGAGCAACTGCATATCACCCCCACAAATCACCCAATAGTAGGTATTTTAGCTAACATAAAAGCTTGGAGTTTTTAAGGCTAATTTTCTAAGGTCTTTCCCAACTTGGAAGACTGGAGCCATAAATATCAGATCAAGCTTAACTTAGTGAACATGTCTGGCATAAGGACAGTTGAATGGGGGAAACATTATGACTTGCCCTTTAGAGATGATCTGGTGGTCCTTACATAAGCAGTTGAATAGAATGTGGGTTATCGTAGATCTGATACTTCCTTTCAATCTACCAAAGGCTAGAATTGTCTTGTAAAGAGATGAAGAGCAAAACTGTCTCCTTGCTCTCCACATTGTAAAGTTGTTTTTCTATTTGGCTGACTGGAGGCAAGAGTTTTCCCAGAATTTTCAATCTGTGAATTGATGTGCCAAAACAATGTCAAGCAACAACAATCTGGCATTAATGTTAATTTGGCCAGGAATGTGGCTTGAAATTAACATTGTAGGTAAGCTTTTAATAAATTGCTGCATTGACTGATATGTTGAGGGATCTCACTAGTCTATGAGAGCAACTGATTTCACTCTCAAAAGAACACTTTTATTGAATATTCAGACAATGGCAGTAAATAACTCAGTTTTTATTAACTTTTCAATTAATTTAACTATGTCTTACATGCTTGTAAAATCCAACTATAGAGGGGTCTTCTATCTTACCAAAGGCTTATGTAATCACAACCTAATGCTGGAAGACAATAATCAATTCAACATGATCAATGCATTGAATTTTGATTTGGGTTGAATCATTGTACTTAACAATGTTTCAACAAAGTGCATAGCTGGTCGTCTATTTCTGTTTAGAAAGCATCTGGAATCTTTTTTTTTTATTTGGTAGAAGGAAACATTTTAGAAGTCTAAGAATTTGAAATTATTATTTACAAAAGATAAATAATTTGATATGACTATGTAAACCAATCTTTTTATAATTCTTGTTGGTATTTCTGGAGCAACAAGTGAGGACTATACTCTTTAGGAATACCTTACAAAGCCAATGTTTTATAGTGTTTTGTTTATTATTTTTGAGGATGAAATTTTTAAATATAGTCAAGCACAAAGTCAAATTGGAGATGGGAAAATTGTATTAGAGTAATCACCCAAGTGTGGAGGACCTTTTTGGATTTTACCTGAGTTCTAACAACCTTTGGCACTTTAGAAATTTCATGGTGTGGTGGTTAGCATACTAGAATGCAAGTTATTCATTACAAGTTCAATCTTGGTCAAGTGCTCTACATCTGTAGCTTTGTGTCAGATAGCATAAATAAACAAGATTTTTGAGCATTTTAGAAGTTCAGCTTTGTGGCAAACTTGACCCACCATGCCTCAGACTTAACTTTAGTCAGTTGTTATGGGGATGGGCTAGGCTGGGGAAAAATGAAAAAGAAAAAAAAAAAACAAACTGGAAGAAGAGTTTCTCTTCTAATTGGATATTAAAAAATTGGAAACTTGAAATTGTGTCTTAAATGTATCCATTTTACCCACAGGTCATTGCGGGCTGTTGTGTTGGTATCTCTTCGACCAATCAAAACTGGAGAAGAACTCTTTTCCACATACTTCACAGTTATTGGACAATCTGACAGACACACCCATGTGAAAGAGACATCTTTAAAATAAAAGAAATTCTTCAAAGAAAATCATTTTGAATAACAGCAAAGAAAAGTAAAGAAATCAAAAATTTTTTTTTTTTAAACTATTTCATATTTGGAAATTTATTTAATACTTTTATTATTAAAAACTAACTGCTGAAAAATGATATGCAAATATTTCTGCATTTAAAATTTCTTAGCAAAGAATTTTTATCCGTTTTGTTTTCTCTCTCTCAGAATATTCTGAAAGACATCAAATATTCTTTTCAAATATGAAATTGAGTAATTAAAGAAGAAAAAAATGAACCTTTCTATTTTCATAGTGCTTTTACAAGTTCTTTTGTAAATATTCAATAATTTATAAATAAAAATTTCAGTATTTATACATTTTCATGAGCCTGTAACTTTTTAAAGTGTTTGTGAAGAAAGAATTTGCTTATTGTAGTTTATCTGGTGTCATTTTCTGAAATTGTATGAAAATAAAAAAAAAATATCAACACTATTCATAGTCTTTTGTTAATTGAAAATGTTTACAAAAATCAATTTTACTACAGTCACAATATAAAGTTTTGTAGAAAGGTTTTCACTAATCAGAGAAATAATCAGCAAAAAAAACAAAAAAAAAAACAATTCAATGTGCCTACATGACTTTACCCAAAAGAATTAATATTAAGAGTTTTTCAAGAAATAAGACTGAAATATGAGATCAAGTAAAAAAATAAATAATATTGGTGAGGAATGGGATGGAGATAGCGCCCCAAAAATTATTATTTCAAACAAAAAGGGTGGCATTAAAAGAGTAAAGTGATAGAACTCCTGAGATTCTGGATATATATATATATATATATATATATATATATATATATATATATATAAAACAAACACCCTCTAGTAATTTATGTCCCTCTCATACAAGTGAGGCAGTAAAACCTTCACACTGTAGTGCACCCACCACAATGTCACCCTGAAATGTAGATTAGAAAGAAAAAATAATGCATCTTTGATATGTTGAGGTAAGAGGCTGACACCAACCATTCTTCATCCTCTTCAAAGTTCATCATAAATCTGACCCTCTCCATCATCAATACCTTCTTCATAAGAGTCATGTCGCCAAGTTGTGATTACTTTTCTCATAGAAGTGATGACTGAAAAAGAAAATGAAATAAAAACAAATATAAAAGATTAAAACTCTTTACTTCCTTATTTATAAACATTTACACTAATTAAATAGGCTTTTATTTCAGCAATAAAGACAAATATTAAAAAAAACTTTCATCACATTTGAAGAGGGGTAACAAAAATATAACAAAACAGCTGAACTGTTTTATCAGTCCTCTCCCAAATGACAAAGAAAATGTGTACAGAGTCTTAAAATAATAAATACAAAATAAAAAATAAATGTATGTAGGTGGGTTAATGCATCAGGTCCAGTGATACTTGAACATTTGATTAAAAAACAGCAATGTGCTTAGACTTATAGAATGGATATGTTCCCAGTGCTGAGTAAGGCTAATACTAATTAGCACTTGAATACCTTGGAATCAATATATATTAAGTCCTACCAACCATCTCTTTGTAAACAGAAGTAGTGGCTGGTGGGCTTAAGTGTAATTAAGTCTTTAATGTTATACTTCTTGTTTTCTATATAAAATCAGTCTGAGGCTGTACATTTTTTGGGGGTCACTGTGCCCCCCCCCCCTATTTTTGCTCTGATACCAGTGTTGCCATTTTTAATCATTGTATTTCAGTATTGCCAATTTATGATTACATTTTTTTGGTTCTGGATGTTCTTTTAATATGTCTGTTTTTGTTGCAGTAATAACATTTTGTACTCCTGCAGAAATATTTAAATAAAGTTTATATTGTTCAGGCTGTGTGCACTCAGACAGAATTCATTGAAGAACAGTTTGACATCAGGAATACATTGAATATTGTGAATTAAAACTGTCTCCGTTAATAGATTTCATTCACTACACTAACTAAACATAAACAATACACTGTGGTGGTAAGTAGAGAGAAATAAATTTTATTCTACATAACAAAAGAAAATTAAGAAATAAAAATGTCTAATTTTGATCTCCAGAAATTCATTATTTACAGATTTTTGACAATAATAAGTTAGAATGAACCAAAAGAAAATTCCTATGAGATACTAAAATTGTCGGTTTTTTAGATTTGAATTCTTTTGAAAGCACAATACTACAAAGTTTGGAGTTTCATTACTTGTGACTTGTGGAGGGGGGGATACTTTAAAAATAAACTTGGTTGCAAGGGAAAATCAATTTTAAATTTTGCTCAGCTTTTAAGTGTAAAATTCAACATATTTTGTCCAATCTGATAGTTCCACTTTTAGAGAAGAATGTGTAGTATCAGACCAGAATAGAATTTTCACTCAATATCGCACCAGTGAGCCAGGTGCAGAGTTGAACAGAGATGACTTCCCAGCCTCAAAATGCAGAAACATGTGATCTTGCAGCTGCACCTGATTTTGTATATGTGAGTAGGAGCAGCATGATGGAGATAGATATATAAACAACATCCCCAGGAGAGGAGTTAGGTAGTTTCTAGGACATTGCAGATGAGAGTGTAAGGTTCCCATTTCAGATGTGGTGTGTCAAGGCCACACACACTAGCTGACAGTAATTTACAAAGTAACAATGAAAAACTTACCTTCACGGGCAGAGGAATAAAAATAACGATATTTTTTATTTCCGTCTTCATTATAATGCTGCACTCTCACATTTGAGCTTCCATCTGGAATGGAAAAAAAAATTGAAATTTTCACTTAAATTGAAAACAAAAACTTACAGTCTAATAAAGAAACTCAGGACTTTTAATTTAACATGGTCCCAAAACTAAGTAACACTAGACCATTTCAAATGTCCAGCGCCCCCAAAAATACCAGGCTGCAGACAAAGGAATTCTAACTAGGACACATATACCACATCGGTTCTTGATAATGACTGTGAAAGTCGAAAGTACTTGAACAAAAAAAAACAAAATATGAACTTTGGGCAGTTTATCCACAACTTTAAGAACAATATGCAACACCTTATCCAAAAATTGTATAAATATAATAGAAATTAAATAGATAGATTTTGTCGGTTTTTCTTAATCAAACTTGTTTGGAGATGTGTGTGTGTGTGTGTGTGTATATATACACACACACAACTTCAAATAAAATTCAAGAATTCCAAACAGGAATTGAGGCCAAATAATTGCATTAATGATTTAAGCTCTGAAAATACAGAAGCAGTATGGTCATAGTTTTTCACAACTTTTTTTTTTTTTTTTTAATCAATTCACCCCGAGCAAGGCAATAATGCCACTAAGATGTCAGGGCCAAACAAGGTGTGAACGAGAATGAGAAGACTTTAGAAGAAAGCAGAAACCCAATCTAAACAGGGAAAAAATGGATAAACTTGTTCTTGTCTTGTTCAAAAGACCAAGGAGGAGTGTGAACAGGATGATAGGTGAACCTATTCTATGCCAATTGAGGAAAAAATAAATAGTAAATAAAAATTTCAGTTTAGGTGGGATTGTTAGCAATATAAAGTTGAAGAAACTCTATCCTAAACAGAAAACAAGGCATAAACTTCTCCTGTTCAAAAGACTGAGTACAAATGTGAAACAGACAAAGCAGCATCCCTATCTACTCATTAGCCGATCTTGTTAAAACTATCAGGATATACTTATAGTTCCATGATAAATAGAACATGGGAAAAATTCACCCAATATCATTTCATTTGTTAATCATATTGTTGTGTGTGTGAAATATATATGTCTTTATTAGTATAAATATTATTTTTATTTGAGTTGCTTATCCCTGTTTTTTTGTGTGAGTGTAAAGTAGTGCACAGTATTTTTTTTCAATCTGTACCTGATGATTACATTGTGCATGAAACTCAGAGTTGTGCTAACAGTGAGGAACAAAATGTATAATTATTATTAGTGTGTGTGTGTATATATATATATATATATGTGTGTGTGTGTGTGTGTAGATTAATTGGTTATGGCTAAGTGTAACTGGCAAAACATGGCCAACAAATGAAATTGACAACGTTTCCTATAAACAAAAAAGAAGAGGGCAAAATAATAGTAAGCAAACAATATATATACAAGTTAAAACTAGGCAAAACAACATTAACAAGTCAAAAAGGTCACAAAGTAAGAATTGTATTAAAATGAAAATCAGATAAAATCAAGTGATTGTAGCATTCCAACTTCAAGACAAGAAAGAACAAAAATATGGTTGATGAGACAAAAAGTGGTCCATTTTATTAGCTTAGAGGAAATTCCAGCATGCATCTGTATGACACACTTGGAACTTTCTTGGGACCAATGTCAGCTTTTTTGCAGTAAAACAAAAACAAAAAAAAAAAACTATCAAAACACTATTTGAAATGAAAATTTACAGATTAATATTAGGAGAGATGCTCACTTAATGAGAGACAAAAGCAGACTGAGTTACACTAATGTGTGATGCTTTGTGTGGGAGCTTGGATTGTGGAAGTCATGTGGCAGCAAGCAAACAGGAATATATAGATTCATAATCAATGGATTTCCAGGCTCAATAACCAAGGAGATGTACAATTTCCAAGACATCTCTACCAAAAAATAAAAATAAAAAGTTTACAATAACCGAGGTTCCATATATAAATAAAGTTTTTCTATTTTTGTTTAAATGTTGCACGTTTATATATTCTTGTCCTCAAGAAGCTATGAAGAGTGAGTATTGAAACCAGATTAGCCCTTTTTTGTTATATATTTTTTCACTTCACTTCTTTCCAGTGACTTTAAACATCCTTGCTCTCCCTCTCCTTGTTTGTTGCTTTTTTTTTTTTACATTTGTTACTGTATATTGTTTTTACACATTTTAACATGTCCATGATTACAGCAATAATAAAGTGTTGTATTCCTCACAGATTGTTATGTTTCAAATAAAGGTACAAGGTGTCATGTGGTTAGTGGCAATTGAATCAATACTCAAAGTTTGAATTCTAGCTGAGATCTTTTATTTTCACTTTGATTAATGCCCTTGAAAAGAGTTTGAATCCAATTTTTCTTGCATTTTGCCACAACACTATTCTACCAATAGTTGTTAACAGAAGAAAGTGGCCAAGTTAACACACAAAAAAAAACACTCTCCCATAATTACTATGCCTACTAAGGCAGTAGTAACAAAACCGTAACCAGATCTAATCCATTGTAGCAGTTATATAAGAAATTTAAGCTGATTGAGCATGTATTGTCTGCTTTTCTGAAAGAAAACAGCCACTGTTTTTAGGATCTAGCTTAAACTATTGACTTCCAAAAAAGTATTTTGGTATCCTTCTGATTAGTGAAAAAATAGCAGCATGTGATTTATTTTGGCACCAATCAGAGAGCTTTACTCCAAATCCTAAGACACAATCCGGAGCTGGTCTTGGTGTATAAAAGAAAAGGACAATTGAATCAAGAAAAGGACAAGAGACATTCTCATCAGCTGCAAGGAGAGGCTGGGTCACCCCGGTCCAGGAGTCAACAGAAGCTGCTGGTTGAATCCAGGTCACTCTGGTCAAGAAGTAAAGACAAGAAAAATTTGACACCGCCAGGCAAAGATTAAAAAGAAAATCAAAGTTGCTCCCTCATCTAAGAAAAATTCATCGACTGGTGTGAAATCCGTTTCTTTGTCGTTACCAAGAAAGGTCACTACAGACATTATACTTACTACTTGAAAAGGATTCAGAGAAGTACTACCTTTCTCTTTGCTATATTTGTTTTAATGTCATTTGACTTTCTGGGGACCTCATGCAGCATATTCTTTTTATTTTTTAGTGTAAAAACAGCATACTTTGTTTGCAGAATATCCTTTATTGTAAAAAGGTATAATTTTATATCCTTTATTATAAAAAAAGGCATATTTTTTGCACTATATACTTTTATGCGTATATACATGTTATTGGCCATTATTCAGCACAAAAAAGCACTTAATTTGTGTAATTTCTTTCATTTTATGTGTTCAATATATTTAACAGATTTAATTTTTTTTCAGCTCGTGGCATCTGTCTTTCTTATGTGATTTTGGCCTTATATCATTAATGTTACCACAAACATTTATTTTTACTACAATACCCTTTCTTCACAGGGTTTTTTACCTCATAAAAACATCCTATACTTTATACAAATTAAATTTTGTTGAATGCGTCACACTTTAACATAGTTCACTTAATTGCATTTCAGAACTGGCTGTTGATAATTAAAAATAGCTACTTTGTTTTTTCAAAGGCACAATGTCTGGAGGTGCAAAGAAAGTATTCTGGCTAAAGGAACTAAACTTGGCTCATGTCATATGCCGTGTGCTTTTGGTTTTATACATTAATGTTACCAAAAACATTTGTTTGTACTACAATAACCTTTTTTCTTAGGTTTTTTACCTAAAAAAAAAAATCCTATAGTTAAAATGTGAGATTAGCCAAAATCATAAAAGGTTAAGAAAAAAGAAAAGAAAACGATAATGCATCTATAAATAGTAGTTGTACTGCCACTGCCATATCAACTTACCAACAAATAAAATTCGTGGAATGTAACTACCGTCAGGTGCATATTTATCCTCCTTAGGTTCTTCATCGTCCTACAAAAAAGAAGAAAAACATCTCTATTTCATGAATACTTTCCTTACATTCTCTAAAATTCAATGCTAAAAACAATTGTCAAAAAGTAAAAATAAAAAGCAGAGAATAAGAGCAGAAATGGCATTTTTGATGGGATATATATCAGAACCATTCTACCAATGGATGTTTTGGTAGTATCATGGGTATTAGCACAGAAAGAACTGACCAGCAGCAGAGTTAATCTATTGCATTCACCATCACAAAAATGCCCATGAGAAAGGTATAAATCCACTTTTCTTCCAACTATAGATTAAATAGCAAAAGTAGATTGGTCTCTCTAATCATGGCAATCAGTCTAGAAGAAAAACTGAATTCCAAACAATGAAGGAAAATCACTATCTTTTGCAAGCAATAATGGAAATAAATAAAGAAACAATCTGAATCTACCAATGTCAGCTCTAAGGGAGTGAATGGAGGAATCACGGTCAAACATGGCATGTTTGAAGTGGAAAACCAAGCCCTTACCAGACATTATCCTGTTACTGGTAAATAAAAAAAATATTGTAATATTTCAACACTTTAACAAAATGCCTCTTAGAGGTTGTCAAACCAGACATCACCATTGTTGACAAAGAAACAAGTAAATGCCTTCTTATTTGAGTCAGCTGCTTCAGGTGACTATACTATCAAAGTCAAAGAAATTGAGAAACTCCAAGAATACACCAATATCCAGATTGAAACGATTTACACCATTTGAAATGTTCTCATTTTTATTGCTATATTCATGACACATGGCTCAGTGGATAAAAGCGTTGGTTAAAGTAATCCAAAAAGTGACTTGACGCAAAGAGTTGTGAGTTCAATACCTGGCCACAGCAGAAGGGAATTAACTAAAATAGATATAAGAAAATAAAAAATAAAAAATAAAAATTACATGGCGTGTGTAATTAGAACAATCTATCCCTGTGGACTAAATAAAGGGTACAGTTCGAAATTTCAATGTATATTAAATGAAGAAGGCCAGAGCATATATCTGAAACATTGTGAATATGTCAGTAAAGATGAGTACAACAGTCCGAACAATGTAAATAGTTACAATATCTCATCTCAGAAATAAAGACAGATCCTGAAGAAGGGCAAGAGTGTGCAATGGCCAAAACATTGTGAATATGCCAATAAAAATGAGCACAACAGTCTGAATGATGTAAATAGTGACTAAATAGTTACAATCACAGCTGTGGTGTCAGAACATAAAACTTTTGGATCTGACTCCAACTCCTCTATTTTTGCCACCTCTGACTGTGACTCCTCTTTATGTAATTAAGTGATCATGGCCTACAAATCTCAAAGCCTATGCATATATATATGCTCCTAAATTGAGTAGGCCTATATCATTATAACTGGTTTATACCAAAGAACAAAGATATTGTGGCTTTTATATCATACCTATTCATTCTTCAATATTTTCTGACAGAATTACAGACAAAATCTTTGAAAGGATATAGAAGAAATAATAGAAATAAAAATGCTATAATGTAAGACTTATATATATATATATATATATATATATATATATATATATATATATATATATTTTGCAAATAAGAAATAAGTACAGAACAAAAATAAAACTACTTTATAACAGAAGTTGAAATATAATCTTTTACAGGATGTAAAAGCCATAACAAAAATAAAAATTCTGTAAGATTTTTTTTATATATATAGTTTTGCAAATGCAAAATAACTACAAAAAAATAAAATGACTTCAAAAAAGAAGTTGAGATGAATTTCTTTAAAGGAAAATACAGAAATAACAATAAAAATAAAAATCTATAATGTAAGACTTTTATATAAAGTGTAAATTCAATTAGTCAGAGTTGCTATAGTTTTAACTCCAACTCCAGTGACCCCTTAATTGCTTTTGACTCAGACTACACAGCCCTGATTACAATACCTCATCTCAGAAATATAGACAGATCCAGATTGAAGTTGCCAGACTGTGGAATATTCAGACAATATTTGGGTGTTGGGATTGATGCCATGAGCTGTAAATCCTACATTGAGAAAGTCAGAATAAAACCTGGTATCATATCACTTTAAAAGTCTGTGTGGGAAAATGAAATAAAACTAATAAATAAATAAAAAAATAGTTTTCCCATGATGCAGTTTATAAAGAAACCAGAAAGAGTTTCTGGTAATTTGTGCGATTTTATGAGTCCACTTCTGGAAAAGACAGAATCTTTCTATTTTCCCTTTCCAATAAGATTGTTCATATGTGTTTTCAGCAGTCCTACTCATGAAGTAGATTTGGCCATCTTAACTCAGTATAAGGCTGACTTAAGCTCGACCATCTTTAACCATTCTTATCCTTATTTCTCATAAATACTTTCTGAAGTAAAAAGGAAAACTGACATACTCAAGAGACATTTAACTTTGTTTCAATACAGTAAATATAAAAGGAATAAATGTCTGTAGCAGAAATTCAAGTTTTTTTGTATGCTTCTTCAATCTTCTTTGTTCATATATTGAATGCACACCTTCATCTAAAAAAAAAAAAAAAAAAAAAAAAAAAAAATATACACAAAACCCACAAGCTTGTTCACATCTGCATGGCTTGATGCTGCAAATATTCTGCAAAAGGTGCTGTCTGTCTGAGGTCGTACAACTAGATGGAGAGCACCCACAAGATCACTGTTTGAAAACTGACAAACACACACGCAAGAAGATGAGAATTCTTAATTGTTCGGATGTCTTAACATGTACATGTTTTGAGTTGGTGAATTAATTTGTAAGTAAATAGTACCACAGATTTGCTTTTTCAGTTGAGCATCCCCGCCCCCACCAGAGGCTGATGAACTGTGAATCTATTCATGAGTGAGAGTAGAGTGGAGAGGGGAAGAAGTTTGAAGAATGAGGCAGCCAAGATGCTTGATGCCAAGATACTTGGGAAAAACCCTCATTTGGAAACTGTCTGAGCAGACTGGATTACCTGAAAGCATTTCTAACAGGGTCACACTTACAAGTTTATGTGCTGCTTTTATGAAAACCTGTTGCCTTTACCAATGCACATTTGACTATGATGCTTGTGCTTGGTGTAACCTTATTAAACAGGGTATCAAGGTTCTAGTACAACGTCAACATTCCAAACTGCGTAATTTCCCTCACAAGGCTTGGGTAAACTCATAGGATGGTTTTCAGGCACTTCCTAGCAGCACTGAAGGCGAGGGTTATCTCACCAGGTTGATTTTATAAAGACAACACTTCTTTAACTACTTGATCTTGGCAAGATTCCACCCCAGATCTCATTGGTGGAACACAAACACTTGAATGACATGCTGAGAGAATGCCTGAATATTTGGAGAAAATAAAAATTGGTATATAACTTACTTGTGTATTGACCATAACAAAATGTTGACTCATTTCTTGAATTTCAGCATTTTTGGCAAAATCTCTCTTTAAACCTAAAAGGATGAAATAAAGAAAAACAATTTAAATGCAGGAACTAAATGAAGTCAAAGGGCCATATCCAGTATAACTGACTAAGTCTAAATATTAAACATTAGTTGGGGGGGTTGTCTACTATGGTCCTTATGCCAATCTAGATGCTTGCTCAGGCACATTTGTGTTTGTTCAACACCTACAAAGATAATCTGTCGTTTAAACTACCACTATGCTGAGCAGATCTTAGTTGCAGTTTCTGCTAGAGGCCATATTAACTTGCATGATAAACAGTTTAAAAGAGCCAGTACACTCAAACTCTCAGTCACGATGACTTGTGACTTCATGCTAGCACAATCATTGACAAACAATTATGTCTACCCAAATTCACTCAAGGCTTCGATCAATTTGTGGTATGGTTTTTCAGCCACTTCCTAATGGTGCTGTATGCTAGAATCGCGGCTGTTTTAGTAACAGAAATTTGATTGCTTTGGTCTGTTTTGTTTTACGGTACATCAGTTTCAATGTGTTACTTAATGCTGACAAGATTTTTATTGTTGGTAATATTTTTTTCATAAAAATGTATTGCTGGTAAAAAATTTTCCAGAAAAGTATTGCTGATATTAAAACTTTCATAGTGTTTTGACCCAGTTTTTTTTTGGGGGGGGGCAGTAACTATTTGCCCATAGCTGGGACCCTGACAGGTGCTACTACCCCAGGTCAAGGTGGACCTGGGGACACCAGCAATTAAGAAATGGTTCCATGCTCATCCAAACCTCCTGATCAAAGGCCTTGCTGGTGGACGTAGTTTATTGTCTTACCCAGGATGCAGATAGAGTTTATCATCATATCCAGGACAGGAGAAATTTGAATGAACAATGTTAAGTAGGTTAATGATGCCAAGTTATAAAAAATACAGATTATTTAAAAAAAAAAAAAAAATATAACTCACTTTTGCAAGCAGAACACCAAGTTTTGTGTATAATGACCATGGCTGGTTTATCCCTGAATTTAAAAGAAAGAGAAAGAATTTGAAAATATGAACTGTAGCCTGAAGATCTGAGAGAATAATTTTGCGGGATACCTCATTCAAATTTGAATCCTCATCTTGTAGATGAGGATATTAGTTTGAAGGCTTGAGACATAGAGAGACTAATAGAATTAAAAAGAAACATCCATGGACTGGGGGTGAGGATACAAATTACTGAACAATTTATTTTAAAAAATTTTTTTTTTATTATCTGATCAATCTAACCTTCAAGCTATGTCTCTTATTCAGTTTTGCCATAAAAACAGCAGCAAAAGCTGATTGACTACCTTACTCATAACCTTTGGAGAGCTGCCTAAAGATATGAGAAAAATTCAATAAGAAATGCTATCCTGAAGAAAAAAAAAAAGGTCAATCATTCCAAAATATTTTGTCATGAAAGTAATTTCAGTTTTTATACCCTCATGGACATTTCTTTGTGATCTTTTAGAGTGTTGGGTTGCCATGCTTATTAAATTACCATTCATGGCACCTCTCGGAGAACTAATGGATCACTTGGTAATTACCCATTACCTTGATAATTACCAATTACCTTTTGAATGTTACATGAAGAGAGATGGGCACCATCTCCTCTCCATGTAATATTTAACAGCTTGCACTGGGTTACATGGTACCTGCAGCAAGAAATGGTCCCTGACTTAACCTGTTATTGAAGACCAAGGACTCCAACTACCCTGCTAATTTAATTGAAGGGAAAAGTGGATTCATGCCTTTCCAAGGAGCATTAATGTAAAATGAATGCAAGTTGTTCCAGATGGAGTTTCAATCCTACTTGCTGTTTTCATTCCCCAGGTCCATTAGGCCACCTGCACCTTGCTTTATTTTCAGGGGGTAGTTAATTGACGTTTTTGATTGTTTTTCTTTTCAAGGAATTATGAATACAATGTTAAAATACAATGTCAGAAATTTTGGGGGATTATTTTAATTTTTTTATACTGCCACTGTCCCATAATAATTGTTACATTTCTATACACATTTTATACATTTAATGTAGCAACTATTTTGGGAAATCAGTAATAGGTGAGTTGCAACATTTACACTTAATATTCCTGAGACAATTCCTTCATTTCTTGTTAAAATCTTTATTTTTGCTTTGTTGGTCCCATAATTTAATTAAAGAATTATGCTGGGTTCTTCATAGCATCATTAAAATTAATTATTTAGTAGTGCCCACCTCTCCAAGTAAGAGCCACAGGATACTTAGCTACGTGGTACTAGGGTAAAATTTTTGCCCTGACTGAATTCTTCAATCATGAAATAAATGAGATCTTTTTCACAAAGTCTGGTAAGTGACTGATTCATAGGGAGAAGTAGATTCATGCCTTTTTCAAAGACATTAGTGCAATGCAAACACAGCCATCATCAGCCTCTCAATCTCGAATTAATTTTGATCTATGAAAATTCAATAGCAACAAAAATGCTTTTTTTGTCTCAGCTTCTGGGATACATCTTTCTACGAGAAAGGATAATAGCAAAAACAATTTTAAAAACCTAAAAGGAAAAGGTAAAAGGTCACTTTTGGTTCCAACCACATAATTAATTCTTTTTTAAAAAAAAACATTTCTTAAGTTTATGTTGTTTAGAAGGTTGGTGTCATTTTTGTAAGGAGGTGGGGACATTTTATTGTGTACACCTTTCTTCTAGTAACAACAGAAGATTCACACAATAAGGTAATCACAGCCTCTATGCAAGAAGGAAAAAAAGAAAAGAAAGTTTCATTGGACTTGTAATGAAAAGAATTCTTCCTTTTTTTCACATTGGAAAAGATAACAAAAAAAAAACAAGTTTTTTGATGTGAGGGAAGAGATTCAATCATATTTAAAATACTTGAGTCTACATTGGAAAAAAAAAGGTGTCCTTTTCAGAAATTGTACAATTGACTTTCTAGAATTTGACAATACAGCTTTTATATTTCGTTAGTAGTTTATTGCAGAAATGTTACTTACAATTTTGCAGCTAAATCAAGGCCTTGTGAAAGTGTTTGCCAGTGAATTTTGTCATTCCAACCTGATAAAAAAAAAAGTCAACATTTGTAAAATGTGATTTTGAAAAGGATTTTTGACATACATACCCACAAAAAAAAAAAAGAAGATATTTTTTCCCTTCACACCGCTATTACTGTATAATCCCTCAACAATTTTTACTGTGTTAAAAAGTTATTTTCAGAATTTAATAAACGAAACAAACATGAAATTTGGTTTATGCATTCTATTTTTTTTCTCTCAAGAATTGACAACAAAAGAATGAAACGTGATTCTTGTAAATTCTTGTGTCTAAAAAATATTGTTGGAAATTTTTGTTTCAAGAAATAATCATAAATCCAGATTCTCACAAACTATTTTAGTGAATTTGTGGTGAGAGCAAATGAAAGAAATATCCAGAAAATGCATTTTTTTCTAAATTAATAATTATAGTTACTCATCATGTATTTATTTAAATTTTCTTGTTCAGATATTTTTAATAAATTTATGAATAAAATTAATGTCTTCATATTTCTTATTAATAAGGTAAATAAATATTTCATTGTAGTTGATCCATGCTTTTTTTTTTTTTAATAAATTTGTAAATATAAAATTATTCATGTAAATAAACAATCTAATAAAATAATGTTTAATTATTTTGTTGTCAATTCTCAAGGAAAAAGTGAATGTATAAATCTATGTTTGTCTTGTTTTGTCTGGTCTGATTTTTGCATGTCTGCACATTGAGAGCATTCTTCTTGACAGAGAAAAACACTGGTGTTATATAGCTCTCCAAGTCCCAGACCCATGCTGACTATTGGCTAATACCTGCCCAATATCGTTAACATGCAAATAGAGAGTGCCACCCACTCCAAATAGCAGGTCTTCTCTCAACAGCTCATTGTGGAAGGGGATGCAACTCCTGGTGCTTACAGCACCATGTACAACCAACTCGGAGTCTTTTATTGGGCTGACACCTGATTCACTGTTACAATCTAGTTTTATGTGTTTGGGCTTTATTAAAATTCTAAAAATAGCTTTTTAAAACAATAAAAATTGCTGAGGGAGCAAACAATAATAGTGGGGTCAAGAGAAAAACTGTCTTTTTGAGAGACTTTCTTTTCTTCTCTGGATACATTTGTTAAACTTTGCCGGATATTTTTTTTTCATTTTAAAGAGAAAATGCAGAAATAAAATTATAGCAGCTTGTCCTTGGATACCTATCATTGGTTAAAAGGAATCCTCTTGCATATCAATTTGATCGAGTTCCTTCATCACTAATGCCCCATTATTGTCGCCTTGTGCCAGACTAAGATATGCTTGGGAAATAAAAGCACCTCACCATGGAGCAATGATTAGCAATCTAAGATTAGGAGACAATTGCTACCATGAAGTGAGTTTGCTCTTCAATGGATGATCCTAACTTGTGGCCTTGTGTCAGACTAAACTAAGCTTAGCAGGTTCCTACAACAAGATCTGCATATTGATTAAAAACCTTTCTGAAGAGATTTTTCAAACTTAGCTTGGTACAAGGACACAATTGTGGAGCACCCATTAAAGAGTAAATTGACAACAGTGATAATGGTTAGTGGGACTGGATTGCTAATCGTCCCTATCAAGTAGGCAAGGAGTTGTAGGGCACCCAGTGAGGATTAAGCTCTATACTTTGTATCCGTGAAAAATGGCCTCTACAGGATTAACCCATTGAGCACTGCATTCCTGAACAATTTTAACCATTCTGTCTGAGCTACTGAGTCAAAATTCACAAATAATTGGTATGTAATGTTTCACGGTAGATATAAAAATGATAACAAGTGTATACCCACTGTTCAACCGGTAGCTGAGCATTGAGTCATTTTCCTTTACCACTGGTAAAGCGATGGTCATGGCTCCAGAAAGAATTAAGACAAAAAAATTAAGGTTTTCAATTGTTCAGAGTTCATTCTGTGTAAACATATTTGGAAAGTATGCACCTAAACTTCCTTATCTCCTTCCCAGTAATCTTAACAAATCTGGATGGGAAGAACAAGTGAAATTATGTAACAAAATTAACATCAATCCTCTAGTGAGGATTAAGATCACATTTAGTAAACAAAGGAAATAATTTGTTTTACCTATTAAAATTCCCAAATGCACAAAGTAGTAAGTAGGTAGGTAGGAAGATAGATATAATACCAAAATAATGTGGAGCAAGCAGACTTAACTACACCAACATAAAGAATCAACCAAGCACAGGTGTAATGCTGAGAACAGAGAAATATCAATATGACCTTTTGCAGAATTCACCTTTGACAGGATTCTTTGTTTGGAACAAAAAACAATATGACAAATGTGATATTTGTGCACAATGTGGACAGTGGCAAAAGTGAAATTTATTCAGTCGGTTCTTTATTTGTGAATGTCACTGTCATCTTTGGACATAAAAGCAAAGAACAATTTTCTCAATAATCATTGAAACTGCTGCATTTTTTTTTTATCTTCCCTCACTTCCATACACTCACAATAAAAACACTTGGTTGACATTGATAAAAAAAACAACCTTTTTCAGTTTTTATTTCTATGTAGTTTGTTGAGTAGAGAATATATATAAGTTGATATCAGAATGTTGCCAAGCTGAACTGTCGCCAATAAAAATATGCAGGCAGCGGACAGTTGTTGGTATCAATTAACCAATTTCATCTGCTAACAGGCTTTATGCTACTTGTGTTCTATTATGTGAAATTTTCTAATGCTGTTTTGAAACAACAATATTTATCAAGACAATTCTGAGCCCTGGCACTTGGCAATTTGCTACTGCAACCCTTGAAAGACTTCATCAGGCTTTTAGCAAACATTCCTGGGGTTGAATGTAGCTAAGGATTTTTTTTTAAAAAAATGACATTTCAAGACTGGTTGAATTTCAGTTCAAAATAATATTCATGGAAACCAACCCTCAGAAAATGTAGTGGGTGTGGTTAAACTCGTCCATATTGACAGTTGCCAAATAATCTATAGTCAGTTATGTGCCATGTGTGATACACACTTAGGCAATCAGGTATCTTTTGATACATGACTGATGAGGCAGATTTTTTCCTGCAGTAGGTTGCCATTTCTTTCTGCGGTAGACCAGTTGCCATCCAAGGCTATAGAACCCAGTCTGTCCTGCTATTTACTCATAGCTGGGGGCAGAAGAGGATTCATACCTTTCCCAAGGGTATTAGCACATAAGTGAATGTAATGGATTTGACTGGAATTCGAACTCGGCTCTTCGATATTCACCTTTATTTTGCTGACCACCATTTCCAATTCCATCTTAGGAATTGTTTATAACCATGAGATCAAACACATTCTTGACCACAAAGACAGTTTCAAAATGCAGTTGTTTATGCTTCTTGATAGACCGTTATCGTTAAAATTAACATTATGAAGAGGTAAACGTGTAATGGCTTGCAAATGAGGCATCTTCCAAGCTGAATAGGTCAGATAATTATGAAATACATTCAAGTTCCTAAATGGCCTAGAAGAAAAACCCTTGTCAGATGTGCTTAAATTTTAATCAGGTCACACATTTTTAGTAGGTACCTCTAAAAAAAAAAAAAAAAAAAAAAAAAAAAAAAAATTAAATGCATTTTAAAATGGAAAATCTTTCTTAAAGCTTTTATTTTAGTTTTAATTCCAAACTAATAGATTAAATTTAATATTTCCAATAAGTAAAATACTTTGCTGTATTATAAAAACTAATTTAAATTGACTGGAAGGATTTTTTTTTTTTTTGCTAAAATAGCTGATTAGTGACCTTTATCATTCTTCTCTAACATTGCAATGTAATTTTCTTAATTAAAAAAAAATCATACAAAAATAAAATATACTTTTCTGAAACTTTAATTAAAGAATATTAGCCGATTTTAAAATATAATTATTGAAAAACAACTATTATTTACTCAGTTTAAAATATTGCAGAAATACATTTTTTAACCTGACTAGCTATTTAAGGTGTTGACAGTAGCATGCAGAAGAAGGGGCATAGGGTGCGACGTCCTCGGACATCCAATCAAAGAGTGAAATAAAAATTTAGTTTATATTTAATTTGAATAAAATGTTTATTTCATGTTTCATCTACTTTTACATATTTAAAATGTCTTCCTTTCTCATATTTTTCTCAGTATCCCACTACTTAAATCTTAGGTGCGTACAATCAAGGAGTTGCACCGCCCCACCCCGGGCATCACCAAACCTCTGAGTGTTGGCGGATTTTACAGATTGATATTTTAGCTGGTTTCATATACTGACACGTTTTAAAATTTGGCAGAATTCATTTAAAACTTTACAGAAAAGCAAAAAAGAACAATTTTATTAAGAACGAACTGTGAATACTGAGCCGGTAAAAACTGAGTTGTCACTTTATTTTTAGATAGGTGATAAATTTGATGAAGTCACAAAATATGGTATTCTTTTCTTAAAAGGATTTGTTATAAATTTGTGCCAAAAAACTCAACTTTGTTGTTTTTTCTGGACTTCGTAACAACCACTATTTTTACATTAATGAATGACGTCTCGTATACACAGTGCTGTTAAGAAAAGAACGAAAGAAAAAAGATAGATAATGTTACAGACAACAATATGAGACCAAGTAAAAAAAATAAATTATAACTGAACCCCCACTTTATGACCAGTCTCTCTAAATCGGGCACTTGCAAAAGAAAGAAAACATGTGCTAGATGTCATAATAATAGAATTTAAGAGAATCTAAGAAGGCGGGAGGGAAAAGAAGAGTGTTACTTTTTTCTCATTCAATTTTTGATCTATCCACTTTTGTTCCGGTTATTTTACGATTTTCAGCAAATTCTTTCTAAATTTAGTTTTCATTTAATTTTACAAATCAATAAGGGGAGTAGGAATACTACTGTGGCAAATATTTCATCGGTCGACCAGAAAGAGAAAAACAAATTCAATTATTCGATCGATATATTGCTGATATGGCAAGGAATTCACAATATCAAAACTTCAGAAATTTTAGTTATTCACAGGGATTTTTTATGAATAATAAAGCCATATTTTTTTCGTTGGGTTACCTTAAAAATAAAATACTTCATTCAAAAAATAGAAAGCAAAAAGAAAAAGATCGATGCATTGTAAGTAATTTATTTCCTCTAACTTTGTGAGAGATTAGGAATTTAAAATTATTTTAAAATGACATTCACATTTTACTAATTTGAGTGTCATTTTAAAATAATTTCATTTTTTTACTTTTCGCGGATTTATGTCGAATCAAAACTCTAAAAATTGACAATGGCTAAAAAAAATTATCTATAGAAATGGAAAGTAAACATTGATTACGAAATTAAAATTATTTAAGTTCAATTTTTAAAAGGTGTTACTTACTTTTTTATTCAATTATTTTAAATCCTTTTAGTTTTATTTTAATTTTTTTTTTGTTTTTCTTTATTATTTGTATTTTTCTTAATAATGTCACATGGACCCCTGAAAATGTAGAAATTCTATTTTTATTTTGTATGTTTGTTAAATCATCAACAACAATAATAAAAAAAAGGAACTATATACTGACCCCGGGAGAGACTTTTTGAAAATTCTGTGGGTTCATTTGTACTTCCCGTACAAAAATTGGAAAAAATGGAAAGAATCAAGAAGATAGAAGACGCTAAGAAGCCAACATCTGATGAAGAAGGCGCCATATTTTTGTTCTGGCGTTGTACTTTCTTCTTTTAAAATCAACAAAAAAAAAAAACTTTGTTTTCAATTTCCTGTTTAAAACGGCAGACAAAATTGTTTTGTCTATCAATGCTGTAGGCTGGTCTCCTTCTCCCGCCAGACGTACTACCACAGTAATTATCACACAAACACCGCCTCTCGTACTTAGAAAGAAACGAGCACGCACTTGTGTGGACCGCTGCTTGTTCGTGAGTCGAAAGACTGCATACGAAAAATAAAATCGAAAGCTAAAAACCTCATTGGTTATCTGCCTGCTTGTAACGCTAGCTCATTTTATTGGTCCCTGTCCTGATGACGCTACGCACCCCACTGTTTAAAAACTTATTTCAATTACTGAGGAAATCGATTTTTCGGGCATTTAATTGATTACTTACAATATGAATTTTAATTGTGGGATAATTTCAATAGTCATTTTCCTATATAACTGCAATATTATTTTGTCTATATAATTTCAATATTCATTTTTCTATAATTTCAATATTCTTTTTTTTTTCTGGAAATCTTTGAGTTTTTGAACCAGCATTCTCATCTTGATTGTTGTACTTACAACGTTTCGATAGTTGTCCTATCCGGCCTTCTTCAGGTTTTTATTACGCACCTCACCCTTTATTCAATCTACGTGATATAAAAATTATAGGATATGTCTCCTCTCCAGTCTTATTCACCATTGCGTCGTTTGTCCGTTTCTTCCACTGAATCAGAGTATTAACGTTCAGCACTGCCAAAGCCAGATTGAACTCTCAATTGCCAGGGAACTAAATATGCTTAAAAGTTAAAACCAATGCCATGGGTCTCCAGAACAAGTGATCAGTTAGTTACGTGCCATGCGTGATACGAGACAGATTTTTTTCCCGCAGTAGGTTGCCATTTCTTTCTGCGGTAGAAAACCGGTTTGTCCTGCTATTTAATCTACCCATAGCTGGAGAAGAGGATTCATACATTTCCCAAGGGTATTAGCACGTAAATGAATGGATTCGACTGAAATTCGAACTCGACTCTCCGATTCCTCAATCCGAGCCGCTATCCGTGCTTCCTTAAACATAGAAAATGGAATGAGAATAATCTATCACCGTTGATGGAATACAGGGTTCGGTTTGAAATTTCAAAGATACACACCTGAAGATAGCCGGATGGTATTATGGCCGAAACGTTGCAAGTATAACCACCAAGATAAGCATGGTGCTTTGAAAGCAAAATATATAATAATCTTTATTTTATTTAATGGTTTCACAATTGCTTTTGAATAGTTTCCAAAAAATTCTTACTCCGCTGTTTACTCAGTTTAATATAGTCTGGCACAAGGACTAGCGTAGTGAAGAGTTGTTGTACTAATCTTCCAAAGAACTCGAGGTCCGTCTTTTTACCTTGAAGAGTATCATTTAAAATATTATCTTTTTTTTTAACTGAACTTAAAAGCAACACCAATCTCTGATAGCGATGAAAATGTAGAGGACTTGCATAAAAATTTCATTTTTATAACTTTTAGTCTTTAGTGTTTTATAATAGATATTTTAATCGTTCAGATTGTTTTTTTGTTTGTTTTTTTTTTTTTTTTGTACACGATCTTTTGAAAGAAAGTGATGAACCAAAAAACTTGAGTTGAGTTAAAGGGAAATAACCGAGACATCCGGAAGAGGCGTGGCACGTGGAACGAGAGCAATCTACTACGGTGGACGAAATAAAGAAGGTTCGAAATTACAATCCCGGAGTTTAGTTCTTAATTTTCTTCTTTTATATAATGTTCTTTCTTATATTTGTAAGATAATTAAAAATGAAAAAAAAAAATTTGAAAAATTGAATTAAAAGGACAATATTCAAAAATAAATTTGCTAATTTAATACACAAATTATATACAAAAATCGGTTTCGTTTTATTTACAGTAAATAAATAAATACAGCACAAATATGACTAAAACCAGAAATTTTCTGCACTTGACAAATGCATTCAGAAAGCTACTTGGCGAATCACGCATATTTTATAAAGAAATTTATTTCCTACAAAATCCAAGTTATTGTATCAAACATAAAACTTAGTACAAACAGCAAGTCACTATAATAGGCGCAAAATTACAAAACAAAACGACCACTGTGTAAAATTTTAAAAAGAAAAAAACATTTATTTTACAATCATACTTCTTATAAAACCCAGGTCGTGTGTGTGTGTGTGTGTTCGTTTATATATTGGATCGGATTTCCTACATTTTTCAACCGATATCAACAAAACTTCTCAGGACTACGTAAAATTACCTTGCGGTGGTTCTGACAGCGCCAAAAATTGGAAAAACACAATTGTTTTTGCACGAAATCAATTTGAAAATACGATTAAGAGGCATTGCTGTCGCGAGAATTAAATGGGGACAACTCATATCGAGTTATACTTATAACCAGGTTATTTGTGTGTGTGTGTTCGTTTATATATGGGATCGGATTTCCTACATTTTTCAACCGATTTCAACAAAACTTCACTTTTTTTGGCCGGTAGTGTTTCTTATTGTCTTGCACACTTTTTTCTTTATTTTTACATTCAGAATGCTTTTAAAATTCCATTTACAAGACAATTGTTTATAATAAAATTCTATTCAATCGGTAGATTCATAACCATTGAAAACAATGTTTTTGTTTGAGTTTGGGTTTAACTAATTCGTAAAAAAAACTAATTAAGACATGCGTGTCCGTCAACCTTAAACAATAATCTTTGTCAATTTTATTTTTCAGTCTTTATGATGGTCGATACTTGATCTATCTCTTACTGTTACATCCCTGGGCAACGCCGGGCTCTACTGCTAGTATTACATAAAAAGGTACAGATAGAAGGTTGCACAAAAATTTCCCTTTTTTGCGTCTATTAAGGCTGGATAACAATTTCCTGACGTCACAAAAAAAGGATTACCGTCAGATACAAGGAAAAATATGTCACATTTTTTAGAAAAAGACACGGATTCAAAGACAAAAATGATTACACCCTTTAAAAATAGAAAAAAGAGAAAAACTCAGAGGAAGCCAAAAAAAAAAAAAAAAAAAATACACAAGGCAGAAAATACAAAACGCACCTATCTCCGTTCTTAATAGAATACTCAATAATAGGATGTTTCAGCAGGTAGGAGTTTTCGTGTTTTCACAAGTTGTTATTTCGAGGGCCTTTTGAAGTATATGCAGGAAAGTTAAACTTGAAAGTTATTTCGGTCTAAATTCTTCTCAGGAAGACACAAAAAGGAATTTTCTGTCCTGGGGTTTGGATTGGTTGAATCTGTCGACTCTTTCTTTATCCGTGTTGATTTATGACCAGTTAATTCCTTTCTCAACGGTTCCTTCTTTCTGATGTCGATCCGCTAAACAGCACTTTTATTGAACAAAGGAGCGCCATAACGGCTCACTTTAAATTTTCACAAGGGCTTGAAGAGATCTCGTCCCTCATTGGCCAGTAAATAGAAACGTTTTTCCAAGAATTCAAAAATGGATCCGCAAAAATTCAACAAATAATTTTGGCGGTATCATCCTCTTGATGCATTAAGGCCATAAAAAATGCAACAATTTTCACACAAACCGACTGGCCTTCAGAAAAAAAAAACACTTCTCTCAAAAAACGTGTATTAAAAATACAACGCTTTATACATTTACAATTCTAACATCTTTAAAATAATGAAAATATTTTTTTTTTATAATTTGACTTGCTACTTACTAAATATTAAGAAAAACATTTTGTGGGACATTCAAACACCTCACGGTACTAAGGGGGAATCTGTACGCATTGAGTTTTTATATCAATAATAATGGGTAGATTACAATAGATTACAATGGACATTAAGTGACAGCACACGCAGTGGCGTAGCTAGAGTTACCCGGGGCGGTCCGCTCAAATGTCACCCCAATGACCCCGATTCACCCTATGCTGAATGGTTAGCTGTAGCTAAATTTTCATACATGCTCTACCTCTACTTTACTCTACTGACCGGTACGTTACTGTTTACATGTATGATCCAAGACAAAATCCAATACCACAAAATAATCAGTTCAAATCAAAAGATTTTTAAAATGCAACTGTTCACTTTCAGAACAACTAAATACAAAACACGGCAATACACAAAAGAATGACATTCGATACTATCGTCTTAGAATGAATGTTTTCTTGTTTTCATTGTGGCAAACTAGTCAATGACATCGTCAAAATCTGTTTGTCTTGTAAGCTCGTTTTCAATAGACAACACGACCAGATCCGACAGTCTCGACTGGCTCATGGTTGACGTAATTTTCTGTTGCTAATTTTCCGGTGTCCAATTTTCCGTTGCATCATTTTCTGGGTACCATTAATTATCAATGATGTTTGAAAGTATTTTCTTGACAAAAATGTTCTATTTAATTTTTAAGCATTTTTCGGAACATTGTAAATCAACTGCATTCTTTTAAAGGTTACCTAGAGAATTTATGCAAAGTTTATTTTTTTGTTTTTCTTTATACAAGTAAAATAAATTTACATCGTATTTTGATGTTATTATGATTTTAGTTTTAGTGATAATTTAAAAACAATAAATATTTATCATTATTACCAATAATGGAAAATTAAGTTAAAAATTTAAAAGAATCGTTTTTGGAATCGGAAAATAGGCACAAATTTTTCCGATTCCGATACTGTTTCCGATACCCCCAAAAGTTCCGATTTTTCCGATTCTCGATTCCGATTAATTAATCGTCCCAACACTAGTAGATATATCCAAAAGTATATTGCTCACTCAATGGAAAATTGTATCTCAGCGAATTGATACACAGGCAAGACTGAAATTGTTGCACTTTTGGCTTCGTATTTCGCTTTGTTGTTATTAATGATGCAAAGTTGAAACACCATATCATCCGATAAAATGTTACAACAATGTCTCTTGTTAGTAACCAAGATTGTAGCAACTAAAACACATGAAAGCTGAAAACATTGCTATTTTTCCTACTCACAAATTTCCCGACAATTTATTAGA